GTTGAACCAAAAAAAAAAAAAAAAAAAAACGGCCGGGGTGCACTTGTCAACGGTAGGCGAAGCAACGCCTGCAGACTTGGTAGTCAGGCGCCGACACCGTTACTAAAAGCAAAAAACAAGGTTAAGGCGTGATCGGGAAGCCACTAGAGGCCTTGCAGTGGTGAGTGTGGTAGCGACGACATTAGTAAAGTTGTCTCATTTTTGGTTTACCTGCTGGAGTCCTCTGCGAGTAGCTCCGATCGCCCGGGTGCCAACACCGTGCTGGCCTTACATGGCTGCGCGCTTATGAACTCTGGGGGTGCGGGCCCGCCTTAAGGAGTAAACAGGTGAAATTAGATCGATCCAGCCAGCAACGACGATGAAAGCACTTTAGGGTGATTGTCTAGGTAGAGTAGGTATTGGTGGTAGTGGGTGGCGGGCTCCCTGGTATCGTACTGCGAAACGTGACCACAGGGTTTATTGACGCTCATCACGTCGGTGAGTGCAGCGTGCGATCGCCGGGGCGATGACAGGGTACATATCAGCGGCTAACTGCGGCCGAGACTATATAAGTAGCGCATATCCTCGAGTAACACCAACGCTGGCGGGTTGAAAGACGATGTGCAAGTGTGGGTGTCTGTCCGAGAAGCACCGGGTGAAGGCCAACTTCTTCTACTGCGACGTGTGCCGCACCTTCTGCCGCCACCAGGCGCTGATGAGATGAGCAATGATTGATTTGACAAACGAATATTCCAGCTGAATTCTAGCTGACTGGCATGTGGGCAGGTCCCCAAACGATTGATATAGACTGACATTTTCTAATCGACATGATCCCCAATTAAAGGGGAGTCACGACTGATCCGTAGCACCAGCAACACCTCCCATGCTGCCTTGCGGCGCATCACTTCCGACACCCGCCACCCCCGCGCGCGGAGTACCGACGCGACGTCATCGGGGTGATTGCGGGCACAGAAGAGGACATAGGCTACTCCGAGCGGCAGGAGTTTAGCGTCCAAGTGGTCGAGGATAGGCCATGTCAGTTCCATGCCGTTGGCGCCGCCGTCGAGGGCGAGGTCGAGCCAGGCGTCGTCGTCGTCGGCTGTCGGGAGTGTCGGAACCAGTTCTGCCGGCACGTACGGCGGGTTATACACCACGACATCGACGATGCCATCGCGCACCCCGCTGAAGCCCGCCATCCGTAACGCCTCCACCAGGGTTCTGCCGCCAGGATTATTATCTCGGAAGGTATCACAGGTTTGTAAACAGGCGTTGGGGTTGATATCGGTAGCCACGGCATACCCCGCGGGGAAGATGTGGGTGTGGAGGAAGCTGAGGACCACCCCGGAGCCGGAGCCGATTTCGAGGCACACCGGGTGGGGGAACCGCGATTGGAGCCACTGGCGCTCCTGTTCAAGGCAGTCTAATAGCAAGAACAGGTCCTCGGCCGGGTCGTACACCTGGGGCCGGAGCTGGCGCACATCAGGAGTCGCGAGCATCTCACACAGTAGTCAGTAATAATAGTAGCAGTTCTCGTGTATAACCGTCAGCGCCTGTTACGTAAGCACTTACCTCAGCGTGATTTGTTCGAAAGCGAGTAAGTTGACTAAAGTGCCACCGACAACCTTACACTCTTCACCACCGATGCAAATCCAGATCAAGACCTTGACCGGGCGCAACATCCCCGTCGACGTCGAGCCCACCGACAAGATCATGCGCATCAAGGAGTTGATGGAGGAAAAGGAAGGGATCCACCCGTCGCAGCAGAAGCTCATCCACCTCGGCAACAACCTCGACGACGACCTCACGGTGCAAGAGGCCAAGATCGACCCCGGCGCCACCCTCCACGTGGTGTTGGCGTTGAGAGGCGGCCACTGATTGGGGAAGTTTTAAATAGTAATGAACGCATACGAATGGTACGCAAAGTAGATATCGGTTGCTTGGCGATAAAATGAACATCGTAGTAGAGATTGGATTGATATACTAATTAAATGATGCCATCAGGTGATGACCATTGAGCTTGCATATCTTGAAACAGTCTGATGGTATCTGAAACGGTATCCACCAAAGTGTTTAATTATGAGTGTCAGTGTAAACAAGTACACGATATCGCTCAATAGTATTGAGTAGCTTTCAATACAGTTCGTATCTGAATGTTTGACATATGCCCAGTACGACGTCTCAATTGACTACAAGTTCACCACCATTTACGTCGACGACACTGCCATCGCACCCCTCTTTTTAAACCAACTACTCGATTGAACACCCTACGAAACACATTGACGATTTACCCCTCTTAGAATAACTAAACCCAACTTCTATCGAGTCCATTATCTCAAAATCTAGCATTTCTAGTGTTTGTTGCCTGGTGGCTACCAGAGCATTTTGGGCTTCGCGCTGGTGAAAAACACACGCCTGTGGGGGAATATGTTCCAGTTTCTGTTGTTGCTGCCGCTGAGCAGCGACACCCTGTTCCGAGCCGGCAAGCTCACCTTCGACGGCGACGTCAGCATCCTTGCCGACCCCAGCTGGAACGGCGTCAACCCGGACGTGGTGGCGTTCCTCGAGCCCCACTTGCCCCATATCAGCGCCATCGTCCTCAGCCACTCGACCCCAGAATCTGTCAGTGGCTACGTTTTGCTATGTATCAAGTTCCCCCAGTTGATGCAACAGATCCCCGTCTACTCGACGCTTCCGGTGAACCAGCTAGGGCGTATTGCCACCGTCGAGTTCTACCGCGCCCGAGGCGTGCTAGGCCCCCTCCCCTCGGCCCTCGTGGAGTTGGACGAAGTCGACGAGTGGTGGGACCGTGTAACTCCGTTGAAATACTTACAGCTGACCCACTTGCTGGAGGCTAAGCTCACGCTCACCCCGTTTAACGCCGGCCATCTGTTGGGGGGTACGTTCTGGGTGGTGACTAAGCGCCAGGAAAAGATCATCTACGCCCCGAAATGGAACCACTCCAAGGACAGCTTTCTCAACAGTGCCCTGTGGGTGCTGGCGCTGACGGGGAACCCGCTCGCCCAGCTTTTACGCCCCACCGCCATCATCACCTCGACCGATGTCGGGCTGGCTACGGCTCACAAAAAGCGGACCGATAAGTTCTTGGCGCTCGTTGATGCCACCATCGCCAACGGTGGGGCGGTGGTGCTTCCCTGTACGCTTCTGGGTCGGTTTTTGGAGATTTTCCATCTTGTCGATGCTCACCTCCAGGACGCCCCCGTCCCCGTCCCCGTGTATTTCCTCCTGTACCTGGGTACGCGAGTACTTCTGTACGCTCTGAACTTACTTGATTGGATGGCGCCGTCGTTATTGAAGCAATGGCAGGACGTGGCGACGATGGAGGGCGGTCTGAACCGGGTGCCGTTTGATCCGCTGAAGGTCGACTTGCTACCCGACCCTAAAGACTTACAACGCCACCTGGGCCCCAAGATCGTGTTCTGCAGCGGTAACGACATCGCCAACGGCGACCTTTCCGCAGAGGCGTTCCGCTATCTTGCCGGCAACGAAAAGACCACCATCATCCTCACCGAGCGCAGCGCCAACGACGACGTGCTGAGGATGCTCTACGAGCAGTGGGTGACGCTTGCCACTCAGCTAAACAACGGTGTCGTCGACGACGGCGTCGTTGTCCCGTTTGAAAAAGTATTATCTACTGATCAATGGACCACTGAAGAACCGTTACTGGGCACCGACTTGACCCGATACCAAGGGAAAGTGCACGCCCACCGCAAACAGCGGATGGAGGCGAAGGTGAGAGACCGCAAAAACAAGAATTTGTTGGAAGGGGACATGGACGACGACGAGGACTCGCTGGAGGAAGAGGCGGAGTTGATGGACGGGCTTTCCGATGAAGAGGCCGCCGCCGAAGCCGAGCCGGCACTGAAGGACGCAAACGGCGACGCCCTGGTGGCGACGGAGTTGGCGTCGCACGAGGCGTTTGTTACCGACCACATCAAGCAGGCGGTGGATCAAGGAAGAGCGCTTGACTTAAAGGTAACGGCTAAGCTCAAGCCGAGACAGGCGATGTTCCCCTATATTGTCCCCAAGAAGAAGTACGACGACTACGGGGCGATCATCGATATCCGCCAGTTCCAAAAGCAGGAAGACAATCTGCAACTGCAAATCATCAACGAGGGAAAGCGACGGTTTGAAGAGGAAAGAGGTAGTGGGAGAGGCAAAGGGCGCCACCAGCGGCGCAACGAGCGTGACCGGTTGAGTCCTCAGGAACAACTTAACCAGCAAATCATCAAACGGTACTTGGACGCGTTAGCCGAGCCACAACAACGAGTGCCTTTAGGGCAAGTGACCCTGGCGAACCGCCAGCTCCGCGTGCGGTGTGGGTTGCTGTACGTCGATTTGCTGGGCACCACTGACTTGCGGCTGTTGCTGGCGATTGTGGCGCTGTTGAAGCCTTATAACGTCATTCTTTTACCTGATACCACTCTGGCTGACCATCAAGGGCTCAAAGACGTCGACGCTGCATTCAAAAAGCTCTTGGAAACCAATACTACTGAACAGGATAGCAGCGAGCCCGATACCTTGGGGCTGCGGCTTTTGTCGCTCGCCGCGATCAGACTGAGCCTGGGCCTCTCGCTGACCGCCGCCACCAGCCAGGCCCGCATGCTGGTGAATGCGGTGATGCCCACCGAGACCATCACGTTGGGGTCGGGCGACGATAAAGGGATCAGCGTCGGCCAACTCGAGTTGAAGCTCGACGAAGAGCTCGTGGCGTCGTTAAAATGGCAAAACATTGACGGCCTGTACCGCGTGGCCCCGGTGGTGGGGGAGTTGGAGCTTGTGTCCACTAATAAGCGGCCAGCCCAAATCGGCGATGTGGTCAACGCCCAGACCCAGTTTACCCTCAAACGGTTGAAAGCAGACGACGCCGCTGCTAAAGTACTGCTGCGTCCCGCGCAATTGGGCGGGCCTCGTCTTGCCATCGGTAACGTGCTGTTGCCGGAGCTTAAGAAGAAGTTGATTAATCGCAACTTAAAGGCCGAGTTCAAGCTGGAAGGGACATTGGTGGTCAACGACACCATCGCCGTGCGCAAAGTGGCGTACTCTAACAGTGACAGCGACAATACCGGCGACATCGTCATCGACGGCTCTATGGGCCCGCTCTACTATGAGGTGAAGGAGTGTATTCGCGACTCTCTTGCCTACGTCTAATTGGCATCAATAATAGCATTTACAACTAATACACAATTAGTTACGAGGACGGCATGGCTTTGGCTCGTCGAGTAACCCGGATGAAACCTCGAAGAATGTCCAAGAAAACACTGTTGTCGAATATCCACGATGAGAACTATTAGTGGCTCATTTAGTAGTAAAGCCAGGTAATTGGCAAAATAGCCTTATGTCCATATAGTAATCGAATATAGTATTCAAAAGATGTTACTGATCCATAATTAAAAGACTATCTCTGACACTACTCTTGATTGTCTTCTTCAATGTCCCGTATATTAAAATCACGTGATCGCCGCATTAGTCCGGTGAAAACGGTAACACAGTGGGGAGAGCGCCATTACCCAAGTCTCGATTCTAGCCCTCCCCCATATAGAGGATATTATGACTCGGTTGCCTCGTCAACCAATAATTCTGTTGCTAAGCCATCCAACAATGCCATTGCATCCAACAATGGCATCCTCCGGCGTTGTCAATATGCTGAATTTGAAGTTCACATTAAATGAGCCTACCACAATTTGAAAGGCTAGGGGAGACGTCCATCATTGCTACCGAATGTATTTATTCCCTAAGGATCTCGATTGAACCCCGTTTTCATCTCCATTGCCACCATATGCGTGATAAGGGAGTGTTAGACGATGATCCCAATTTGGAAGTAGAACCGGTGACCAGACGACAATGCGAACAATGACCACTGCAGTGAACCGTGACCGCCTCTGTTGAATGAGCCATTATTGTCAATCTCCTGAGGATTGAAAGAGAGGATGGAAATTGGGACATCTGTTTCTTGTTACCCACCGACCGTATTCGTGCGCCATGGATCTCGATTAGATCTCCCTATTATCGCCGTTGCCACCGCTTCACGACGAAGAATCGCGCGGTTAGGGAACGCTGGGCATTGCACGTAATCTGGGCTGGGCCATTGACAACACGACAATGAGACGACAGCGGAATGTTGAGCCCGCCTTTACCCCTAGAGTCTTTGTCGTCAACCTTAACATTTTTCCCCGAAAGTCTTGCCGAACAGCATAAATAGCGAGCCTTTTCTTCCATCCTCTCCTCACAATTTCAAGCTTGGTCATGGCTACTTTTCTACTAGAGTATGGTGGCTTGGTTGCCTCTGACATGGCTGTTGCTGACACAATTCCGACAGTGCTTTCATTTTGTTGCGTCCCTCTGAAGTCGGCGTGCACCCTGCCGGGGATCCTCGTGGTCTCTCTGGGAGCAGGTGTGTGACCCCAGTCCTCATGGCGCACTTTGCAATGTTGTACTCGGCAATCAGTTCAGGACAGCCATGGAGGAGACAGCTGGGTCCATTTTACGCTAATAGAAGAGCAGTCGCGGCTACGATTAACACTGATGTTCTTCCAAATGAATTCTAATCACGGGCATCATCATCATCGATAACGGAGCCCAAGGCTAGGTCTCGACGGTGTTGGAGCGACTGGCTGTGAGAATATTAACTCTTCGTGTCTCTATAGTATCGCATGGACAGAGCTTTGGAGCTTTGTGTTAGGTACAGCTCATTAGGTGGAAATCAATTTGTATGCCCTTGGTTGGAGCTGGCGAACTCCTTACTCAAGCGTTGTAGTCTCGGTGCTATTGGGGACCGTTTGAATTTTTTCCCTATATTGTTGCAGTGTAAGGTAAGCGTTAGCCTCAGAGTAAGACGAGTAATAGAGAAACAGCAGTAAGCCCAATTATTTCCGCTCATGCTGTATCGTGATCCTGACTATGGCGAGTATAATTGCTCAAGCTTAGACCACAATGGTATGGCTTGAGTCGCCCCCTCCGTCGAGTGATCAACTATTGATTGATTTGACCGACGAAACGCCAAAAATTTCGGTGCTATCAGCAATAACTCAATTAGTGGAGCCCGAGAAATGTACACAAGCTGACACCAATCGTGTCTCCAGTCTTGTTGACGATCAAGTGCCGAGTAACGACCAGACGTCACTCGCCAGTCTATCACAATACCCTAATTCATACAATTTAGAGCAGCGACCGGTAACGTTGACTGCCGCATCAGTTGTCTCTTCCGATTTTGAGGCTCCCAGCACTAGACGCCGGCTTTCATCGTCATCAACGTCATCCAAGTATGCGCCGAAACGGCCCGTATCAACAAAACCAACAATTTAAACATCGGCATCATCAGGCCCCACAATTTGATCAAGCTGTATCAATTCTTTGGGAAAGCAGCTTTCCAAGAAGTTTGATCCATTGAATCTAACAATACCCGAAATAACAATTGAGGCCTATGGAAGCCTCCAGGCTGCCACACTCTGTGCCTCCAAATTAAATCAGATAGAGAAGAATGATTGTCATTCACAGCCACACTCTAAAACAATTAATTTCGTATCTTACAAAAAATCGTCAACAGTCATATATCTGTGACTTAATTTTATTGTTAGTTCTACATTCTACTAATAGTTTGTTTTCGTGGGGGGTGCTCACTCACGGTGCTCGCTGGAGTGGTGCGCGCATTTCGCACCGAGTTATTGGCCAATAAATTTTCACGTTAAGTGCCAGACATGGAACCCTTGAGCAGATCCGGCGGTACCAGAAAGTGCTTCTACGAGTTCCAGACGCTTGCCGCGTGCTACACGTCGGCGGAGACGCTGTCCAAGCTGCAGTGCCAGCCCCAGTTCGACGACTACTTCGAATGCTTGCACGGGTACAAGGAACGGGCCCAGGTGAGACTGATGTTGAAGCAGTTGGACGAAAACAAAGCCCACAACCACGACCACAAGGACCACAAGGACCACACCCACGCCGTCACCGCCGACGAGTTGTACAAGAAGTCCGGCCGGGTGTACGAAAACCTCGACCTCATCCAAAAGAACTAGTTACGACTCAAATAAACGCATAGAAACAGAAAAGATTCGACTTGTATGATGATTGACTGGATCGTCACAATTGAGACCAAATACATCTAGTCACAATGAGTGACGATGTATTATCATTAACTTCTGAGACGTTAGTGGAGGGGGTGATAAACACCAATCATAACGTTAGCTTTCCTATTCCTAAATCTTTCAATTGAATTGAGTAATTGGCTACCACATCTGGTTACTCCAAATCGAAAAGCTTTCCGTTTCTCTTGTGTGTTTTATTTCCAGAATTGTCAAAATTGTGTGTGACCTCACATATCTTCAATCTTTAACTATTTCTTATCTTATATCGTCAGATGCCCAATGCAGTTCAGGTCTGGTATTATTTGTATCCCAGTTATTCTCAATAGTAAACATAATCGAAAATCAATTTAGATAAGATCACTTGAAATATCTTTATTATTTTGGTATTCACTGATTATGTTCAATTCATAGCTGAGGTCGCACCATCTGGGGTCCATCGCGCTATACCTACTAAACCTAACCTCGATGGCTCCGACCCAAACCCTCTCAGTGAGGGATGCCCAGGACCTCGAAGAGTTCCGCTCGTGGCAGCTTGTCAAACGACGAGAGTTCGAACAGCAGCTCAACAAGAACCGCCTCAATTTCGGCCAGTGGCTCCGCTACGCCCGCTGGGAAGCCAACGAGTGCCACGACCTTGCCCGCGCCCGCTCCGTGTACGAACGAGCGTTGGATGTTGATGTCGCCTACGTGCCGTTCTGGGTCCAGTATATCCGCTTTGAGTTGGCCCACAAAGCCGTCAGCCACGCCAGAAACCTCTTGGACCGAGCGACATCGGTGTTGCCTTACGTGGCGAAATTGTGGTTTCTAGCCGTCCAGACGGAGGAGGCGTTGAAGAACTATGCTAAGGTGAAACTCACATTTGAACGGTGGCTAGAATGGCGCCCAGAACCGGTGGCATGGGACGCCTACGTCAGTTTCGCCACTCGCCACGGCGACCCCGAGCTTGCCCGCCAAATCTACCTTCGCTACGTTGACCAGCACCCAACTACCGATACGTGGCTCAAGTGGGCAGCGTTTGAGCGCGATGAGCCGGCCAATATCGGCAATACTCGCCTAGTGTACGAAACGGGGGCCGAACGGCTTTTGCGGGCTCAGGACGCCAAAGTGGCCGAGTTCATCGATAGCTGGACACAATGGGAAACCTCAGTTCAGGAATACCACCGGGCCCGGGCGATATTCGACACTATCTTGGCGGGAAAGGAGGTGTCGCTACCAGCGTCAGTGCGGCACCAGATAGTCACTGTCAAGGCTCAGTTTGATCGATTATACGGCCAGGATACGCAGCTTCTCGACGAAAACGTTGCCTCGTGGCGGATTCTGAGCTATCGCCAACTGGTGGAGGCCGACCCCCGTGACTACGACCTGTGGTGGCAGCTATTGACGTTGGCACCTGATGAGGCGACATTCGAAGCCGCTGTCGCTCAGCCACCATTGAATCTGGACCGCAAGCTGGCGAGCTGGAACCGGTACGTGTTCATCTGGATCCGCTACGCATTGTGGCTTGAATACGCTGTGGAAGACATTGAGAGAGCCCGCTCAGTATGGCAACGGTGCGTGCAAGCGATTCCTCATGCAAAGTTCCTGTTTGCCAAAATGTGGATTGAGTATAGTCGGTTTGAAACGAGAGCGGGCGGGCTCGCTGAGGGAAGGAAAGTGCTCGGCAAAGCCATCGGCAAAACCTCAAAGATACCTCCTAAGGCAAAACTTTTCCGCTACTATATCGATGTGGAACGCAAAGTGGGCGAGTGGCTGCGGGTCCGCAAACTCTACGAGAAGTGGATGGAGGCCCTGGTGGCCCATGGCGGTGGCAGTGGTCGGTGGGTGGACGTGTTGCGTCAGTACGTCGATTTTGAAAGCTCAATTGGCGAGGACGAACGAGTTAAGGCTTTGGTGAGTTTAGCCGGAGAGAGTGGCGACGTCCATGCTCGAGAATATGCCATTAATTGGTATAACGATGAGCTTCTTTATGATGAGCTGAGACAATTGTACGAAGATGCCGTGACATCTAACCCTGCCCTGGTGACCACGTGGATCGCCTATGCCCTTTTTGAGTCTCAGATCCCCACCGATGAACAATTGGATGCGTTCAACGCCTCTGACGACACCGAACTCGAATTGGAAATTACCGATACTCACCGCAAGGCGACACGAAAGGTGTTCACTCGCGCCATCGAAGCCATTGGCGATAACGCTAAGGCTCATATTGCGATTTTGAAAACCTGGAAGGAGTATGAGGACGTCAACGGTGACGAAGCCAACCAGCGCCGTTTACAAGAAATGCAACCGATTAAGTTGGACGACGGCACCTATGAGTTCCCTGAAGTGGCGGAAGTGGTGGCTAAACCTAATCTTGCCAAATTCTTGGCTAGCGCTAAGGCGTGGCAGAAGAAAGAGGAGGCTGAATAGAATAATTATTGCTGGTCAATAAATGCATAGATTTCGAGTAAGCCAAGAGTTTTGCGAGTCAAATACGATACTTTACACAAATACCAAGTAGTATTCAACAAAACTATGGCTTCAAATGGTGAAACAAAAGCGATTTTGGCCGAACGCTTTTATTATTATTTTGCCTCATATCACAAAGCGTAAATATCTGTTTTGCAACAACAGGAGGGTTGGCCGAGTGGTCTAAGGCGACTGACTTAAGATCAGTTGGACGGTTGTCCGCGCGAGTTCGAACCTCGCACCCTTCATATCTTTTTCTGTTTTTCAAGGTTAGTCAATCAATGGCAAAAGCAAGCGTTTTTCTGATGGCCAACCATCATTTTTTGCTAGCATCCCCATAAGGTTCGCTTCGTTTAGTTGATGTTCTTCAGCAGCCCTGGTGTTATGCACGATAAGACATGTTACGATCTCCAACAGAGAGCCAGGTTATTACGAAGTGCGCTTCTCCACGGAGTAATTACTTTTTCTTTCAGAACTGAAAGTTTCGCTGTAGGGAGCAGGCGGTAACAATTCATTTCTACAAGGGGCCACCTAGTTTTACTTACTCTACTCTGTTAGAGTCGTACAATGGGTTACACAAGCACACCCACCGTACTCACTAATTTCGACCGCCACCTCTAATGATCCTTACATTCTAAATCTCTTTATGAAGAATTTAACCAAGGTTGTTACAGTAGTTCTTGGGTAGTACTTCACTAACTTGTATGAAAAAACTTACATCCCATCGGCGAATACATTTTCGGGTTTTATATGTCATTATCATATCTATTAGGTGCCAAAATGCACATTTGTCTATTAAACGATGTCCCGCTGCAGGGTACCCAGGTGGTACTTCATGAGCAGTTCCGCTTGCGGGAACCCGGGGATGTCGTGGGTGGTGCTCACGCGCAGCACCGAGGCGTTGGGAGTCAACTCGCCCTCTCTAATCATTTGCGTGCGCAACTCGTCGATGCTCAACGGGTGGTGGAACTGGGTGTTCAAGTTCTTCTTCAACGACCCTTGCGAAGGGTCCTTGTGGCGTTTCAAGTTCAGCGTCGTCTTCCGCTTGAGGGTGCTCATCGCCCGCGTCACCTTGTGGTGGTGTTCTCTCGGCGGGTACTTTTGCTCGATTTCCTTTTCCAAGTCGTCCAACAAGTGCGGGTTGTTTTCGTAGATGTTGGTGATCAAGTTACGCCGTTCGATGTCCTCCAAGTCGGTGGGGTCATACCCGGTGGGGTAGTCGTCGAACTTGCCCTGTTTCATTTGTTCACGCACAATCTCGACGTCGCTGGGGTCGAAGTTGGCCCGGAGGAAGTCCCAGGTGAACCGGGGCAAGAGACAGCACACGATGGAGATGAAGTAGGCACACCAGCACGACAAGTTGCCCAACACGTTGGAAGCGGCGCCGTAGAACTCGCCGATGACCACCCGGCACGACCACACCCCGGACCAGAAAAAGACGATGAGAATGGAGATGGCGTTGATAAGCACCGACAACCAGTCCCAGCGCTTCTGCTGGAGGAGCACGTAGACGTTACACACCGTCACCGTGATCAAAGCACAGACGACACCCATCCAGAACCGGTGGCCCATGAAGAACCCGTCCATGTTAGTGAACGCCTTGTAGAAGATCAAGTACGGCCAGTAGAACGAGATCACCGACTGGTAGACACCGTCGATCATATACCAGATGAACTTGTACTGCAGCCAGTCCTTCTGGAGGATCCCCGAGCGGAACAACTCGGGGACAAGCAACAGCACCGTGTCGGAGACGTCCTGGTCGAAGATCGCCAAGAAGATCACCGGCAATGACGTGAACGCCAAGTTGTAGAACATAAGGTAGGTGTACTCGTACAAGTACAGCCCGTCAAAGTCGGTGTAGATCTGGTACCAGAAAAGCGTCATGGTAAACACAACGTTTTTGTAGAAGAAACAAGGGACCATTTCCGCCAACCGTTTATACGACCACCGCCCGTGCACAAGCAACAATCTCGTCAAGAACCGGAACTGGCCGATGGCGTAGTCCAGCGACATCACCGCCTGGCGCCCTTCCTCACCGGCAATACCGACACCGACGTTAGCCGCCTGGATCATCGCCACGTCATTAGCGCCATCACCAATGGCGAGGGTCATCACCTCCAACGTGTCCTTAACCGTCTGGACGACAGCGGCTTTCTGGGCCGGAGACACCCGACAGCAGAGTACAGACTTACACTGCTTGCCCAAAAGCAAGAACTTCCGCTGAACGGCGACGGCGTGAGGGTCGGGCTTCTTGCCGTCGCCTTTAGCAAAGATGAGGGTGAGCGCGGCACCGTCGATGACGAGGCCAAACTGGTTGGAGGGAATCAGGTGGTCCTTCTTCGCCTCCTTGATGAGACGAGTGATCTCGTCGTCAGAGTTGGCCTGGATGCCAAAGTTCTCCACCAAGTACTGGTCAATGAGGGTCTCGATGTCATAGAGCAGCTGCGACTCTGTCGGTCTTACCACAAGGAGCTTCATATCGTTCTCCAATAAGTTACACAGGAACCCGATGTTGATGGCCGTCTCCACTCTGTCGCCAGTAAGCACCCACATCTTGATCCCCGCGTTACCCAAGATGGCAATCGAGTCGGGAACCCCTTGTTGCAAGCGATCTTCGATGGCGGTACCGCCCAAAAGGATGAAGTTTTGTTCGACTTCATCAGCAATCTGCTCGATGAGAATGTCGCGGTTATCTTCGATCAGGGCGTTGGCCTCGCGGTTACGGCGCGTCCAGTCAGCGAAGAACTTGGGGTCGATCTCGCGCTGGGCGATACACAACGTTCTCAACCCTTCGGTGGCGTACTCTTCCAAGTGGAGAGCCGTCTTTTGCAAGAGTTTTTCCGGATTGGCCTGGCCGCCGCTGAGCCGTTCGTAGATGACGTTATCCGCCCCTTTACAGATCAAAAGGATGCGGTTATCAGGAGTTTTGACGATAACCGACATCCGCTTTCTCAGCGACGTGAACGGGATGATATCGAGCACGGTGTACTCGACGGTGTTGCCGTATATGGTCAAAATGACGCGGTCGCGGCGCCGTTGAGTGAACACGATCCCCACGTCGCGGGCGGCCGCCACCAACGCCGCTTCGTCGGGAGACTCGGCCTCGTAGTGCAAGTGGCCGTCGTCGTCACGGGTGGCAATAATGGTGTTGCACAACGCCAACGCAAGCATAAAGTGCTCGTTGTTGGAGCACTGGGGCCCCTGGGCAAGCACGTCGTCGACATACTCCAGCGACACGAACGTGGCGGTGGCTTCGTCGTACTGCGGGTTGGGGCCCAAATCCTGGAGCCGCTCTTCCATCACTTCCTTATCCTTGGCGATAAGACGGCGCCAGCGGTCGGCTTCGGTGACGATGTCTACCCCGGCGCGGCGGTCCATCCCCTGCTTGGCCTCAGTGTATGCTAAACCGTACAGCTTGCCAGCAATGGTACACTTTTTGAACTCCATGACGTTTTGGGTCAATGTCCCCGTTTTATCGGAGAAAATGTACTCGATCTGGCCCAAATCGTCGGAGATGGACCACAGCTTAGGGACACAGGCAAAGTCAAGCGGCTGGTAGTACATCTTGTTGTCAACATGAATAAAGTACGCCTGACACGTTTTGATGATTTCCACCGAGATGTAAAGGGAGATTGGCACTAATGACTGGTACATGATCAACGCCACGAAGAACGCCACCACCCCGTTACCCGCCGACGTCGGCAGGTAGGGTTCACCTTCGTACCAATGGCGCAGCCCCCTCTTGTTATTATAGTAAAGCCCGTTGACTAAACCAGAGACAAAGCAAAGGACAAACAAAAGGAGGAAGTTGATCACCACCAGCAAGTTGAGTTCCTGCTGGATGCGCAGCTTTTTCGAAGGAGTAATACCCGAATTAAGCATGATCTTCGTCTCCGACCCCGTGTACACCACGAGCCCGATCACCCAGTCGGTGTTGCGAAGGGCCGACCCTCTCAACAACACGTTGTCGTTGGTGATGGGGTCTCTCTGGTCGGGGTTGACGAGGGTGCCGTGGTCCCAGTTCTCGTAGTGGATGGTGCCTCTAAAGTTGTATAAGTTGGGGTTGGGGGCGTCGAGCTCGACCCAGAAGCGGACGTTGCCGAAATCGGTCAGGTGCTTGATCACCTTCAGCCCGCCGCAGGGCAAGCACGTCTTCGTCTTTAAGTTGGTTTCCCCGTCTAAGTTCTTGGTTTCCACAAGGCACTTACCGTCGATGTCGGAGGTGGAGATGACAATGATATCGGCGGGCACTTCCTCGTCGTTGCGGATACGGACAAACAGCCCCACAGTGATGTCTTTCCACTTGCGGTTTTTGAATTTGGTGACGTTGGAGTGGTCGCCGTTGGCCTCTACAAGCTCGGGGGACACGATGGAGTGGGGCACCACTTTGGTGGGGTGGATGCGCAGCCGTGACAGCATCATCAGCGGTCGGGGGTCGCCGGAGCGGCGGCGGTCGCTGGAAGCACGGTTGGACGGGGAAAGCGTCCGCAACGGCAGCAATTGCAGGTGGCGCTTATCGCGCAGGTGGCGGGGGAAGTCGCGCAGGCGGCGGAACACCCCCAGCGGTCTCGGGGTCACCTCCAGGTCGACGGTGGCCATTGTCTGGAGGGCCAAATCTTCTTGTTTCTGCTCTTTGTCGGCGTGCTTTTGCTTTGCCTTCTCCGAGAAGAAGATGCGGATAAATAGCTTCTGGCACTTGTTCCAGAACCGCGCCGTCGCCCGCAGCACCCGGTTCAGGAACCGCTCCCAGCGGGTCTCCTTATACTCGTCGGTGTTGGGGTTGGGGAGGCCTAGAAGCAAATGCACCGGCAGGTTGTTGAGCTCGGAGTCCAGCACCGCCCGGCGGTAGTCCTCGAACGCGTCCTTGGCGGCGGTAATACAGACGATGACGATAAGGGGCACCGCCGCCAACCCGGGGGAGTCGACGCCAAAGATCGAAAACGCCCCGAGGATGATCAAAATGAGGAAGTAGACGTTGGCGACGTTGGTGAACTGGAAAAGGATGTTTTTCGGCAAAAACGTCACCGGGGTATACTTGGTGGTGCGGATCTTGTTGGGCGGGTAGTGGGTCAACGGCTCTCCCTCGGGGTCCCGCATGTCGTCGGGGACGTCCATGTTGACAAACACCCGCCGCGGGGTCTTGTTGTAGATCTGTTGCATGTAGCGGGGCCTCTCCGAGTACCCTTTGAGGAACCAGTGGCGGCGTATCCTCGCCCCCAACGACGGCGGCTTCGCGTCGAACTCCAGGCGCGTCGTGTAGTGGGGGCCCTCTTCAGCCTCGGGAGGCGTGCTGGTGTCGCCGTGGGCCTTGCCAAACCGCATGCTGAGCCAGGGAATGGGGGGTTGTTGGCGGGTGGTGGGTTTGCTGTTATGGAGATGGTGCGCCTTAGAAGCCGGGGCCGAAAATCCCGCATGAGGTGCGCACATGCTGGGGAGGCTATATGCAGGACGTCCGTTACTAACACAACCACAGATAGATCTAAAGTGGGTAATCACCAGTGGTATATGTTTCAGTTGGAGTAGCTAGTATCGTTCCACGGGCCAAGGCGAGCTCTCTGGGGTGATTTACGAACGCAAATCGAGTTGTCATTGCCACGTTACCTACCATAGTGTCTCCGGAACTGGCGCTGCGATGGCTCCGCACCCGGCCAATAAAGCCGTGCCGGGCTTGCACTGGGGAGCAGGCGCCTTACTCATGACCGCAAACCTCTCTCCGCCGCATCCGGCGGTCGCCACACACCCGCCGCACCGAGGCACAGACCCTCCCCCCACAGCTAGACACCCTACGGTTGCGCTAGCTGACCATCGGCTCGGCGACCCCCGACTCAACCCCTGAGTTTAGGGTGAGGAGATTATTTCCTGACGGTTTTCCGTCTAGCTTTTTTGACGTTTTTTTGACGTTTTTTTTTGACGTTTTTTTAGGAAGTGCCAAGTATAGGGGGGATGAGATCTAGACTTTGGGTGCCGAGCGGCGCGATGATCTAGTGTCATCGGTGCCACCGGGATCCACCTTATATCCACCTTGCCTCCACCTCTAAAATGTAGTACCTTAGTTTCGAAGAGAAAACTGGAATCTCTACATAAGTTTATCCTGTATGCCAAAAGTGAAGAGGAATTCAGTTCGTAATCTAAGACATTACCTGAGACACCAAATAAAGTTCGAGTTGAAATCAGATGAGACTTGAAAGGTACTATCTATTACTTCTAATCTGTAGTAAGATCCCAGAGCTAATTTCGAAGAAGTAGTTCGAATAATCGAGTTTATAGACTGCCGAAAAGAGCTTTGCAAGAAGTATTGGTTCTAGCTTGACAGGCAAATCAATGAAGCCTTTCACGATCCCAGTTTCTCCAAGTGGTGCTCATTTTCTGAACCATTGAACAGTTCCGAGCAGACGCTTGCCATATTGCACCTTGTAATTACTGAGGCAATTGGTATTGTCAAGTTTACAGTCGAAGCAGCGAAGATCAGTGTCGAAACCATGCCTCGACGTACGACTATGTCCATCAGTCGTATTAAATTCAAAACGGCAGTCTACGCGAAAAGGCAAAGCTTTAATTAACAATCGACCGTAGTACCATAGCACGAGCCACGATGCAGCAGACTGTGTCATTATTCGGTGGCTCAACCTGAATCTAGCTCAATTTCTATAGAGTTTAAGATATGACATAGTTGGAAACACAATGCATTACCAAAACCGACCGTCGAGCTAAGGTTCTGAATGGGAAAATATACTCAGTTAACGTGCACATAACGGTAATAAGTAGCGTAAGACCCCCAGGACGAGACCACCAACAAATCAGCCACCAGTCGTATTGTGTACTCCTCAGCTAACTTAGTACAGTGCTTCGTTAGCTAGATGGTAACTACCATCGCCACCAAAGACTCGTCACAGGTGATAGTCAACGATTCCTAAACAACGCAAACGACATCCACAAAACGTGATGTAACCATCAGTGACTATTGTCACAATGCCACAGGATTTGTCATTTTCTCACCGGTTGTGGATTTGCTGGAGGAATTGATTAAACTCGGCCTCAGGATCAACTTTAGCCTCTGCCGCTTCATCCTTTGGTGGCTTGGTCTCGGCGAGTTCCTGGTATTTCTTTCGCGACTTACGGGCTTTAGCTTGCTTGGCGGCCAGCTTAGCTGCCCCAATCACTGCAGTTCGACACCCCTCTGGGTTCTGGAGCTCTTCAAGCTTAAGGGCAAGGATCTCGCGGGCCCGCTTGCGGTTCAGCTCCTGTGACCGAGAGTACTGACACGTAACCACTATACCCGTCGGCAAATGGGTTAGCTGCACTTTGCTATTGGTTTTATTGATCTTCTGACCCCCTGGACCGCGTCCGCCTTTGAGAAACTTCTCGTCGAGCTCGTCCTCAACAATGAGCCATTTGGGACGTGGGGGGTACTTTGTCTTCTTAAGACAGCACGTGGGAGTGATATGGAGCCAGCGGTTGAAGAGTAGACGGGTGGCGGGTGGTGGTAGCGGTGGAGCCAGTAGCCATCGTCCCCACCACATGTAAAGCCTAATGCGACCGCGATTGACAAGTAGTCTTGAAGATTTAAAGCAAAAGAAACCAACCTCATGAAACAAGTTGCTGAGCAAATTTTTCAGCATTGATCACATTTACGTATCAAGTTTTGCCACTTAATTTTGCCACCTCATTTTGATCAAATCGATAAATATATGTCACTATTGATTTCGCAGTGGGGGCTCATCGGAGTTATCACGTAGAACAAACCTTACCCGACACTTATTTCCACAACCAGCAAGGTAAATCAATCAAAAAAAAATGTTTGCTTAGCTCTAAATAATTACTTAACGTAACGGTAACCTTATGATACTGCAAAACCAATAAATTCCCCCGATTCTTTCGTCTTCTCTGGTTAGTGACGTCACCACTAGCGGACCCGGTCGCACGAAAAAGTCACCGCCAGACCTCCCCTCAGACCTCTCGAGTATGACGCTGACGTCGACCGATCCCGGCGGCAGCACGCCCCACCGGACGGCCCTGACTTCCTCCGAAGTGAATCCGGCAATGCTGCTTGCAGGCAACGTCCAGCAAGACATCCCCCCGGACATGGTGGTGCTTCTCCAGCAGCTCGAACAGGACTTCGCCAACCACGAAATCGACCAGTGGACGTATATCAACCGACGCGAGGCCATCATGCAACTGGTGCTGAAGATCCACGAGCAGCAGCAGCACATGCAAATGAAGCACCAGGAGTTGGACCCGAAATTATTGGAACCGCCGCTATACCCTCGGATGCTGGGGGACTTGGAGAAGCTGCAACAGGTGCCACTTACACAGATCTTTAAGCTGCGGGCGACGGTGTCCAAGGGGGAGCCGGCATTGATTGTATTGGACGGCAAGGGCAACAAGGTGAACCAGATCACGTGGGATAAGCTTTTTGCCAAAGCGGTGAAAGTGGCCAATGAAATCCACAATAAGATGACGCTTAAGAACCTGGATACGGTGGTGTTGCTCTACGAAGACGGCGAGGTCGTCGAGTTTGCCATTGCCTTGTTTGGCTGCTTCATCGCTGGCGTTACCGCCATCCCCATCCACCACGACATCAGCATCATGGAGGTGATCAATGTCATCAAACTCACCAACACCAAGCTCCTCTTGTACTCGGAAAGCGTTGCCAAACGGCTAGAGAAGATCCAGACGCCAAACAGCCGCCTCCAGTGGCCCCAGAAATTGGTGAGATGGCGCTCGACCGATTTCGGCAGTGCCAAGAAGCTGGAGCTCGCCGTGTGGAACAAACGCATCCAGGCCGACGCCAACAGCACCAACTTGGCCTACGTCGAGTTCTCGAGACTGCCTGTCGGTGAACTTAGAGGAATCGCCCTCAGTCATCGTACCATTTTACACCAAATGAATTCATTGAACCAGACGTTGCTGAGTCTTCCTGATGCCGGCACCGAGCTTAAACGACCGTTTAACGAATACCCCCGCTCAGTGAAAGTGGTGCTTGCCACTCTCGACATCCGGTTCCTGATTGGTCTCATCATGGGGATGTTGTTTACGGTATATTCTGGTAACGTGTTGACGTGGGCCCCCTCGCGAGTGATGGAAGTCCCGGGTTTATACGCCAACATCATCTCCCGAGTGCGGGCGTCGCTTTTATTAGCCGATTACTTCAACTTGAAACGGGTCACCTACGACTACCAGCAACTGCCCAACGCCACCAGACAGTTCTCCAAGACGGTGAGAGTCGATTTCTCTCTGGTGCAATGGGTGTTAGTCAACGCATTGACGATTGACGGCGAGTTTATGGAAATTTTGAGTCATCGTTATTTACGACCGTTAGGGTGTCAGCACCCCGAGAACGCCATCATCCCCATGTTGACGCTTCTGGAATACGGGGGGATGGTCATCTCATTACGTGACTGGCTTGGGGGGCTGGATGGCGATAGCGAGTTGCTGCTGGTACTCATTGATAAGGAAGCATTGCTGCGCAACTTGGTGAATATCGTTGATACCAATCCCCTGGGGTTTGATGATATCTCACCCGATCTCTTACGGGTGGACGCGTTTGGGTTTCCCTTGCCTGATGCCACCGTGGCGGTGGTGAACCCCGAAACATTGACATTAGTCAATAAGGGCGAACTTGGGGAGATTTGGATTGACTCGCCATGTCTCTCCGGAGGCTTCTTTGGTCTTAAAAAGGAACTGAAACAGTTCTTCCACGCCAAGTGTCGAGGTGTTGGTGGCATCAACGACATGGACTTCTTACGTACCGGTCTCCTTGGTTTCACCTTTAACCAGAAGATCTACGTGTTGGGGCTTTACGAAGATCGCATCCGTCAAAGAATCTCGTGGATGGACCAACAATTATACCGCAAGCTCAAAAAGGATTTGGTCATCGGCAACGGGTTCAGATACCACTACTCGTCGCATTTATTAGCCACGTTGGCCCTGGAAGTGAGTCAAGTGTACGACTGTACCATTTTCGACGTGTTCATTGGCCACGAATATTTACCCGTCGCCATCGTTGAGGCCGAAGTGGTGCGTAAATTGGCCGATGAAAATGAAACTGATAAAGCAGCCAACGGCAACCCAAAACAACCGAAAACCGACCAGTATCTGGCCGTCCCCTTAAACGAACCAGTACTCAATCTGATTGCCCAACAGTGCTTTGATACGTTATACAAGCGTCACTTTTTGAGATTATATTGTGTGGTAGTGGTTGATTGTGATACTCTTCCCAAAATCATGAGACTGGGAGGTAAGGAAATCGCTAACATGTTGTGTAAAAAGCGATTCCTCGACGGTCTGTTGCGGGCCGAATTTGTCAAGTTCTTTGTCCGTAAACTGATTCTGATGATCCCCCACGGAGAGGACGTCATCGGTGGTATCTGGTCGCCCTACGTGCTGGCGCTTCGTCTGCAACTGCTAGCCCCCTTTGCCAACCAGATCTCGACGATAGACTACCGAGAAAAACTGATTGATGATAAAACTGGGGCTCCGCTTACCGACTTCAAAAGTATCATTGATGTCCTCAAGTTTCGGGTGGCTTCAGGAGGTGATCAGATTGCCTTCCAAAATATCGACAATAGTGGCAAGTCGCTGCTGAAACCGTTAACGTGGAAGAAGTTTGAACAGCGGGTATATGCTGTGTGCAACTACTTCTTGGAGAAAAATATGGTTCGCCCTAACAAATACGTGATGCTCATGTACAGTTTACTGGAAGAGTTTGTCATTGCCGTGTTTGCCTGCTTTTTATGTGGCATTATTCCTGTCCCCATATTACCATTCGATTCAAATCGAATCCGTGAGGATTTCCCTGCTTTCGCTGGTGTACTCAAAGACTTCCAAATTGATGAGATTTTGGTCAACGAAGACGTGGAAAAGTTCCTTAAAAATGGTATTGTGGCTGACTCCATCAAGAAGCTCAATCTGAAGCGGCGTAAGGTGCTCAAAATCAAGAACACGGGTAAACTCACCAAAATGCCCCACTCCTTGGCCCTGTTGAACCTGCGTATCCTGAAATTCCAGGCGCAAATCAACTTCAGAGACCCCCTGACGGTGGCGCTTGTCTGGCTCAACTTCTCCAGTGATCATTACCGGTTTGGCGCCACGTTATCCCACAAACTGATCATGGGGATCTGCAAAGTGTTTAAGGAGACTTGTAATCTTCTGCTGAAACTGCCCATCGTCGGTTGTGTACGTCATGCTGTCGGCATTGGTTTCGTCCAGGCGTGTCTTTTGGGGGTGTATTTGGGTACCACCACCTATTTACTGCTGCCAGTGAACTACGCCGAAAACCCGTTGGCATTCTACTTAGCGCTTGCTCGCTACAAAATTAAGGACGTATATGTCACCGAGCAAATGCTTAAGTATGCTGCCATCAAATTCACCCCTAAAGGTTTCAACTTGAACCACTTGAAGAACATGATGATTTCTATGGAAGACCGTGTCGACTACGAATTCTTACGGAAAATCGCCAAGGTGTTCCACCCCGCGAAATTGACTCCCCTGACGATGCTGACTGTCTACAACCACTTCTATAACCCGATGGTGGCGCTGAGACTGTACGCCACTGTGGCCCCCGTCGAGCTTTACTTGGACCCCGTGGCCTTACGCCAAGGGTATGTTAGTATCGTCAACCAGGCTGACTACCCCAATGCGCTTTTGATTCAGGATCTGGGTATGGTTCCCGTATGTACTGAGGTGGCTATTGTCAACCCTGAAACCCGCAAAGTGTGTCGCGAGGGCGAGTTTGGTGAGATCTGGGTGTGCTCAGAAGCTAACTTATCCAACTTCACCAACGGTCCTGTGGGGCCCAAGGATAACTTTACCGAGCTGCAATTTCACGGCGTCATTGATGGTGGTGACCCTAACATCCAATACTTGCGCACGGGCGATTTGGGCTTCCTACACAACATTTCCATCACCAAGACGTCAAAGTCACCCAGCACGTCGGCGGTGCCTGAAACTGCTCTGTTTCAACCGTTATTTGTGTTGGGCAAGATCGCCGACACGTTCGAAGTGATGGGGTTACACCACTTCCCCATCGATATCGAAAACACCATCGAACTGTGCCACCCCGACATCTTCACCAACGGGCTGTGTGTGTTCAAGTGCGCTGACTTCACCGTGGTGGTGTGCGAGCTGAAGCGGCTGCGGTACTTTGCCCTGTTGGTGCCCTTGATCGTCAACACCGTGCTCTCAAAGCACCACTTGATCGTCGACATTGTCGCGTTCGTCAAGAAAGACAATTTCCCCATATCTCGCTTAGGCACCAAGCAACGGGCGAGATTGGTCGATGCGTGGGTGTCGGGTGAGATCCCCATCCTGGCGCTGTTTGGCGTCAATTACGGGGAAAACCTGATGATCCAGCTTGTCAAGGAGATCGACGTGGTTGCCCGCGACCACCCGATCACGGGGTTGCGCAACCCGGCTCTGAGTTATTACGACGATGAGCCCAACGTGTTTGACGACCCCAGCGCTGTCCAGTTGACAGTGCACGAGTAGACGACTTGTCTACTATACCTAATTACGCTAACGAGAAATGAGACATTTATACCCTCTACTAGAGTATTGTAGGCGAATCGAAGACGACTCACTTCTATCATCCTATACATGACGGTTATCTAAGGAACTGCTCACGAATGCTCATATATCCTTAGAGCTCTAATTAATCACGACGCATCGATCGAATAGCTACACCAACATCATTCAGAAAGAAAGGGGTTGCCTCAACAATTAATTGAAAACGCTAAAAGTCGTAGACTTCCTCAAAGATAACTGACAAGTCGTCGACTTAATTGTGAGTTACTGGTGGAGGTGGAAGTTAGTTGGTGGCTTTTGATTACCCGCAACCACAAGAACTCGAGGCTCGAATTCGTAATTGAACCACACTACTTATCTTGTTAATCTTTTCATTTCTCCTATAGAATAAAATCCTCAAACATATTGAAATTCGCGTTAATTCTTCTCACAGATGCATATTTGGCATGGTAACAAAAGACAAAGTCTCACCACTACTAGCTTTTTTACCAATAATAGCATCATCACCCATTGATTAGTACATCAAATCAGGTTGGAAATTGGAGTAGTTTCTACCAATTCGTATTGATACGGGGGTCTGATTGAAATGAAACCGGCTCTTATTCCTACGAGCCGAACACTCGAAGTACTCGAGTGGATTCACGGTTTTGATTGTCAAAACCAGCTCCGGGAAATAATCAATCCGAAGTTGCCTTACTGATGGTGGCAAGACCAAACAATTATCGGCACTTATAAATTGATATACCGCCCCGGAGGTGAGGTTTAAGTACCGGAGCTTGTGACATTGAAGAAGCTTCAGCGCCGGATCTTCCCTCGAATAATATATATTCCGGGGCATAACATAACTGCAAGTCAACTTTTCCACCATGAGAGGGATATGGTCAATTTCGTCACATTCCAACTCGCGACAAACAATCTTTCGAACCCCGCGCAAGGATCCTTGGCACTTGAAAGTGGTAGCGGTTAGTTCAACGTCACATGGGATCAGCCGTACGTATCCGAAACACAACGAGTCAGCCTCTATTTTGGTCAGCAGTGGAAGTGCACTACAAAAGATCGAAACATCATCAGCTGAAACGGACAATTGCGGTAGTGCCAGATTCATCACCGTAACGCTCTTCAAGCGCCGCAGGATCACCAAATTACAACAATCAGACCGATCTAGTTCAATATGCGCAAGTCGAGAAAACGATTTAACCAACCACGTGGGATCGAACCCAACCAGTATGACAATTAAATTTGTTACGCTTGGAGCCCAACAGGTTAATGAAATCACGCTTTTCATTGTAAGCTTAGTAAGCTTGGCACAATCCAAAGAAAGATTTCTGCAGTTCTCGACATTAAGCGATCGAAGAGTGGATGAATCAATGCTCACCAGCAAACTTTCTCTACGGGAGCAAATACAAGTGAAGTGTTTGATTTGCATCGGGATTCCTTTCACACTTTCAGAGGTCCAAATCTTCCAGTCCACCAAGTGTGGTGGCAATGGGAAATCCTGGGTGACTTCCTTGTGGACGTGGCAATGTAAAACCGTCACGTTTTCTAGTAGACTCATCCGCGCCACTTCCCACAGGCACCCAGTAACTGACTCAAGTTGAGCGAGTTGGTCTTTGGTGAAATACTCCGTGATGTCAGGTAAAGTGGAACCTGGCGCTGGGGTTGTCATTTTGACGATTCTGAGGTTGGGGTACTTAAGACCTTTGAACGAGGAGGATCTTTTTTCCAAGTGTACGGTGTGCAAATTGATAGCAGCTCGATCTAATGAGGGGATGATATCGTGGGCTGATTCAAGTTGAGCCCATAGCAAGTTTCGAACACGGCCGCGCACATGTCTGAGATTGGGAAGTTTCGACCCATCAATGGGACGGCTCAGGTTAGAATCATGATTGACGGAGACAATCAGCTCTGGTAATTGGGGGTTGTAAAAATCAATGTACTCACAGTGACGATCCTCGAAGTGGGTGAGATTGGTGAAGTGACTAAGATCGAACCCGGGGATGTACCGAAAATGTTCGAGTCGAAGTGTTTTAAGTGTCTTCGGTATCTTATCAGAGTTTATCAAGGTCCCAATAAGACTTAGGTCAGTAAGCTTAGAACCCATGAATCTCAAGTCGGCCGAACGTAAATTCGTGAGATAGTGGTGTTTATTGTCCACCGTCAACGATATCAGATTGAATTCAATTCTCCGAAGGTACCAAAGTGTCAAGTCCAAATAAACATCCGTGGTATTGACCACAATATCTAGTGCAGGAAGCCTCGCCAAAGTGTTGAAGTCGATTTTGGTAATGTCGCCCTTGACAACGATTTCGGGAGTGACTTCCACCTTAGTGGTGGCAAGCCAATATCTTATTTCACCAACGTAAGCTCGGGATTGAAACGCAATGCAAAGTCGACACACCGATGGAACATCCAATAGAGAAAACACGAGCTGGCCAACGTCGAAGGGTAGACCCTCCAATAAGCAGAATTTCGCCATAACGGGAACTAACAAAACTCAAGCTTTGAGGAAGGGAGCCAGTATAAATATCATAGCGGGGAAGTAAGAGTCATCATTGTTAGCCGGGATTCTTGTTGGAATGTGCAGGTTCTCTTGCGTCGCATTCACGCCGTAGCCATGACCTATACGAAGACGGTATCAACGAAAAATACCACTAAAAGTTGGAATTTTGAAGATTTAAACTCATAGCCATAATCCTCATCGCGTCCTAAAGCACCATAGACCAAATAATTTACAATTTTTGGTCAGATTTGGAGGTTAATCGACGGTAGTGGTGCGATACGAGATGGTCATTTGCAGCTGTGAGTCAAGTCTCGTAACAACTTAAAAGACCTATTGACAATCAGCTCAATGTAGTCGGAAAGGCACAACCATTGCCAATAGAATATCAACTCTCCCTGGATACAGACTAGGAACGGTCAGCACTCCATGAAGCGGTACTTGTCGTAACCTCAAGTTTTCAGGCAGCATACCCGTCGGTAGCCCCTCTTAGTGCCAAATAAAACATGGTAATCTCCGTCAGTCTATCTTAAGTTCGATATTTTCAGCTCCAGTAGCTCTCACTCATCGGCCCTCCACTGACCCATTGTTGTTGCTCGCATCAGGGACCCTCCGTATACAGCGCGCGTCTACACCTGACACCTCATCTTAGCTAGTCATCGATGCCACTTCAAAATATAGAAGTAATTTTCAATATCCATGGGCAACCACCACCTCTACTGCTCGAAATTTACCCCATAAAAGACCCCTGCATCTCCCCTAGACGCGAGCCTTCTCTCGGTAGTTCCAGTCGGTACTTTCGCTTCGTGCGCGCGCTAACGTGTCCGGAACCACTCCGTACCCCACGTCTTCTCCACTGAATGCTGTCCCGCTACTCTGCTGCGGGCGCCGCCCACCAACGAGACATGCGGACACAGCTTTTCGCTCCCGGGGCCACCCTGTCCAAGACGCCGCTGAGGACGCTGAGCCCCTACGAGGCGGTGCCCCAGGAGCTGGCCAAGCACCACGAACTGTACTTGGCGCTGCTTGAAGCCGGCAACAACGACGAGATGGACGTCATGGGCGAGAAAGTCAACATGCTCAAGAACTTGGGGTTGCGCATGGGCACCGAGATCAACAAGCTGATCAAGCTCAACGACGAGATCACCAACTCGTTCGAGCAGGGGAAGGTGACGTTGAAGAACACCTACAACAAGATGGTAATTATGAGTCAGCGGGCCGGCATTACTTGGCGGATGTGGGCCACGGTGTTTGCCATCGTGGTGTTCTTCTTCCTCTACGTGTGGATCAAGTAAACCCGCCCCCTATCATCATGAACCTTAATCTTGACAAACGACTACACATGACCATATTTAACCGTTAGACGTTGGTGAATACATAATGAAACACGATAAGTAGGCGATCTTACAAGTATTGTTGTGAGTGTCGTATCTGATATGGTGATGGTATATATTGTTTAGTAATCCTCGAGGTGTTGTTTGAGGTTGGAGATGGAGAGGATGCTGCGGTTATCGTCGTTATCGGGGGGCGAGCCGCGTTTATAGTAGTCGCCCGTGGCCACGGGGAGTAAGATCCCGTTGGCCGAGAACGACGTCACCAGGAGGTTATTCCGGCCATCGTAGGCCAGATTGATTTCGGATAAAGCCAGCGGGGCCAGGTACTTCGCCGCATCAAGCTTGTTCTTCTTTATCGGCACTGCCTGACCACTTAATGATGTTTTAAGGATCAGTCGTTTTGGTTTCAACGTGTGGTGGGAAGGACGGTGCTTCGGCGTGGGCGAGTTGTCTTTCTCAAACAGGACATCGGCATCCGACAATAAGGGGGTACGAGGGGTGGCCGCCGACGACGATGTCGATTGGCGAGGCGGCAGAAGGTCTAGCCCTTCGGAGTCGACGGTCGTCCAGATGTCGTCGTCACTGCCTCGTTTCAAGGGCAGGGTTTGCGGCGGCGACAGATTCACTGGTGAGTGACACGGAGGCGTTCCGGGAACATTCTCAATATCAGCAATGTTGTCACTGAGCATTTCGAGAGCTTTGATGGCGGGGGTGGCCTGAGCACACTCACACGGCGGGTTCTGCTGGTGGTGTTGCTGGAGGTCATTTTTGCGGGCTTGAGCCTTGACGAAAGTGGCACTGGTAATGGGGTCACCATTGATACGGAGCTTTTTGAAGTGAGACGTCTGGAATGTCTGTATCGCCGTGGGCAGCAGTTTTATCGAGATAACGCTGGAGAACGGGTTGGGGTTCAGGAGTTTGGGGATCGGGTCCACGTATTTGGGATGAGACATGAGTGACGAATATAACAAGTTGATAGGGTTATGACTGGCAGCGCTGTTATTGCGGGAGGAACTAAAGCTTCGCAGCGTCTTTTTCCGCCGGTATTGATTAATGGACTGAGCCATGAACTCTTCGAATTGTTGGGGCGACATTGGTTCCTGGCTTTCCACTTTAACAAACGGTTTTCGGGGCGTACGTTTAGTAGCATTGAGCAAGGGAGACTGGATGCCACTGAGGGACGATGACGTCAGTGTGATCGGTTCCAACGGGTCAATCAGAGAGTTTTGTCGCGGGAGGGGCGTTTGCGAAGGTGATAGTGATGGCAGTGACGGTTCTGGCGACAGCGACGACTCCGACGCCTTGGTTGGCGATAGTATAGGTTCAGGAGAAGTATTGGTAATAGGCGATCGCAGCCGTTCTGGTTCGAGGGTAAATGACGGTGGTTGAGGTGTGAGTTCTCTTACCGATGTTCTCGCAGAACTTAGCGGTGACTGGTCGGGAGACTGGTCAGTATTAGTAGTCGTCTGTAATTGAGGGTGGTCCACCGGTTCGAGGGTGTATTCCGGTGACACCAGGGGATGGATGCCATTGGCATAATTGCCCGAGTCTCCTCCATTAGAGTAGGGTTCATAAGTAAACGGAGACTCAGTCTCAGTAGTAGTGGGTTTCCGCTTCATAAGCTGGGCGAGTTTGGGGAACCGAGCCGGGTCAAACTCCACTGACTCCAATCGGTTAAGCACCGCTTTTAGTCTGGTATTAGTCGTAGTAGTAACCATCAACAACTCATTCACTTCGGTGCCCACAGCTCCGATCGACGCCGGCAGCGGCAGCGCCTGCGCCATACGCTTCGTCACCAGCTTCGTCATCTTGGCCACCTTGATGTTCCTCATCTGGATCTGCTGTTCCCTCGTCAAACTGCGCTTGAATTCGTCCCGGACATCCTTCTGGTAGTTGCGGCTCACGCCCACCATCAGATCGACGACGTCCTGGGTTTCCGGGGCGAGCGAGGCGAGCACCAGGTCCAAGCGGAACTGGTCGGCGGCGGGGATGGGCGGGGTGTCGACGCTAAACTTGTAGGTGGACATGGAGTGTGGTGGTGGAGTATAGTGGTGGTGGAAGCCCCTGTGTTCAGGGCGGTGGGGGGCGGGGAAACGTCTGCGTCTCTGCTGTCAGGGCCTAGACTGGGGGGACACTGAAAACTCCCCAGGGGACGTGGTTATGTGCAGGAAGTAAACGGAAAAGGAACACTGTTTTTGTGGAGTAAAACCGTCGTCGAAGGAAACCAATGTCGACCCACGAAAATGACAAGCCACCGAAACTAAAATAAAAAATAGTTGTGGAATTTGGCCACAAAAAGCAGGTATGTATCATTAGTAAACTATAGTGGTCCTTGCTGGGTTTGCGTCATAGACAGGCAGCTGGGGATGGTGGATTCATGCGCAATATGCACATGCTATTGCCAGCGAAGAACATCCGTGCTGCAAAAAGTTCTAAACCCTCGTGCTGCAAAAAAAGATATAGAAACTCTCTGATGCGTATAATTTTCGAAGTAAAATGACTAAAAAATAGTAGTAGCAGAACTAATAGCGGTCGTTGACAACGTGGGTGTCGCCAAAGGGGTCGCTGCTGACGGTATCGCTGGTGAGCTGGCGGGCCACTGGTTTTGGCGGCCGGGGCGGCGGCGCCCGCAACGTCATCGATTCCATCGCCTTCAGCGTCAGCTCGGCCGCCTCGTCGGCGTCGTCGTCGCTGTCGCTTTCAGTGTAGTAGCTTTCGTCGCTGCTGGAGGCGTCCATGTTGTCGTATTGATGAGTGTCGACGATGCCGCTCATGCGGTCGTAGCGCTTGAACGCGTCGACCAACAGCTCGTTGGCCGAGATCAACGCCCCTAGGAACTCGTCGTCCATGCGCTGGTTCTCTCTCAGCTTCGTCTCGGGGTCGCCAGCGCCCACAAACTGGATGTAGCGCAACACCTTTCGGCGGATCCGCTTGCACTTGTTGAACTCCGCCGTCGCCTGGGCGTTTTCCGTCGGGAGCTCGCCGGGAGGTAATGCTTTGAGGGTATTGGTGAGGTTGGTGACGGCGGTGTGGCAGTCCAGAAGCGTGTTGCGGATCTTGGGCGCCTCCACCTTGTAGTTGATCTGGGGGATCTTGTACTCGTCGTCAGCGTAGCGAGAAGAGCGGAACAACCCTCTCTTCCGCTTCTTCTTCTTCGGCTTGGGCGGGTCGACGCTAGGCTTCTTCAGCCGGGGACGCAGCGGCGGAGCAGCAGGTGGCGGCAGCGGCAGCGGCAGCATCAGTGCCGGCTCCAAGTCGTCGTCGCCACTGTCAAATACGTTCTCCTGAGACTCGAATCCGTCGTTGTGGCCCCGCGACCGACTCAGCGATGGCTTATTTCCAGGGACGTAGTTCCACAATTTGGGCATCAGCCGGAACTCGGGAATACCCAGCAATTCGTGCTGCCAGCCAAGAGCAAGCTCTCTCGCCGCCCGCTGGACACGAGAACTGTAGGTACCGCCATCACCAGCGGTGCCCCGACCCGTGATCACCCCTTTAAGCACCTCATTCAACTTATCGTCATGGACGACGGTGGAGCCAATTGACAGCCCCCCGTTGAGCACCAACACCTCAAGAAGGCGGATAGCCCTCACCTGGACGGGCACTTGGTCGCCATACTTGATATTTTTGCGTATTGCCCGCGCCACCTCGGTGGCGCCGGTGGTGGGCTGGATCTTGATCAACGGGAGCAAGTCCGCCAATTGAAGCTCGACGGAGTCGTCCTCAAGCTCATCGTTGAAATGGGGCTGGCAGATCTGGTTCACCTTGACGGTGATGCTGGTTTCGGGACGACTCCCGAAGAATGGCATGGGATTGGGAGGGAGATAGCTAATCGGGGACAGGTAAGCCGCACCGGCGAGATTTCGCGCAACCGTGGGGGGGCACACGGCTAACCAACCACGAGCGCGAAACCCGAGATTAAAGGGGCAGCTGGAAACTGAAGTTCAATAATTGATGGTTTTAATAGGTATTTATTTCAATAATATCATTGATAGGAACTCTTACTTAATGTATTATCATTTTTATTGATGACAGCCCCTGGTTGTGTTATATGTGGGCTGGTTACGGGTGCTGGTGTTGGTTATGGATGGTTGCCAATTCCGTGCTACTGTCGCACAAAATTGTTACCGACATAGCTACGAGCAACCAGCACCGAACAAAAAAGAAAGAAAATAATTAAGACGCCGCGACCACACGATAAGGTATATTTAGAAGTGTGGTGGCATTTCGAGTAATAAGTTGTGTTTGTTTACCCACATTTCACCCTTTCACACCCCATTCGTGTTTAAGAATACGGAAAGAGCGGTTATGCGGATATCTCCTAAGTGTATGGCAACCTCATGTATGCCTTGTCTCCGACGATTTTCCAGCTTGACGCTTTCGTAAATACGCCAGTTCACCCGTATTTGTGAGGGTATCGAATGCTAAGTTATAGACATATGGCAAGTGATATAGAATAAACCATCAATGATTCAACCCATTTAAACCAATATGAGAACTGGAGAATTATGGTACCAGTACCATCCAATTATTCAAAATTGACATGAACAGATAAATCTTTCGCTCCCGTCAATATGTAGACATCTGGAAGTGAAATCAACAGAACCACTGAGATAGTCTAATTTTGAACCGAATCAAACAAATAAATCATTTTTGGACATCATGCTAGCGTCTACCCCTTATTCATTAAGTTTAGTCAAAGAACTGAGACTCAATTGTCAATATTCTTCACCATTTCATCGGTTTCCGTCTCTGCTTAATTCTCTCCACCAAGTGATTTTGTGGCCCCTATGGAGCGCGCCACAATGTATAAGCCATCCGAGCACCAAGCCGCCGGACACGACGGGTGTCTCACCGATGCTGACGAGACGCTATTCATCAAGTTGACCTCGCCCCAGGAGGTGGAGTTTTACACGGCAATCATGGCCCAGGACCTGGAGCGGGACGACAGCGACGACGTGCCGCTCCTGGCGTGGATGCCCCAGTGTATGGGGCTGTTGATGCCGGGAGACGTCACCAACCAGCCGGCCGCCAAACCCGACCAGGTCTACGTGGTGTTGGAAAACCTCTACGCTGGTTTCAAGCGCCCCTGCATCATGGATATCAAGCTAGGGGCCAAGCTCACCGACGACACCGTCACCGCCCCCGAGAAGATCGAGCGGCTCCAGAAAGTTAGCGATGCCACCACCAGTGGTAGTCATCACTTCCGCGTCTGTGGTATGAAGCTTTACAACCAGAATTCGGAGGAAAAGCCCTCCATTGTCGGTGGTCTTGACGATACCGTGACCGTGGTCAAAGATAAGGCCGACGACGCCTATCTCGAGTTTAATAAGTTCTATGGACGTCAATTGACTCTGGATACGGTGGTGGATGGGATCAGACAATTTTTCGGTCCCATTCTCGCTCACGGGCCGTCGCCCCACGCCAAGCTTGTTGTCAAACGCTTAGTGCAAACATTTTTGAAGCGATTGCAGCTATTATACAATACGTTGCTTGACTACGAAGTCAGGATGTTTTCGGCGCTGCTATTATTCATGTACGAGGGTGATTTAAGTCGATGGCACCTAGACGACCCGGTTGACGATGCCCATCTTTTGGTGGACGACGACGCCTACGACTCCGCGGACCCACTACTTGCTGACCGCCGAATTGCCGATGACGACGACGACGAGGATGACACCGAGGACACGACTCCGACAGCACGGTTGTCCCAACTTAATTTGATTGATTTCGCTCATTCGAGAGTGACCAAGGGTGAGGGTCACGACGACAACGTAATTGAGGGCGTGGCAAAGCTTATTGACGTGTTTACCGCTATTGACGCCTCGATTTAAGGATCATGGTTATACTTTCTATCCGCATAGCGTCGTATGCTCGACTACCCTTGCAACCTTAGTCATCGCATTCCTCCCAATGTGGGGGTTGACTTGCAGGAAGAGACAAAGTTAAACGGTACATAATAGGAATACCCCGTTCAATCTTCCATCTCCATTTACCATGTCGACTACCCAGCGCCGCATTGCCGCTGGTTACCGCTCAGTGATTACAACGCCGCTGTACTTGCGCATCTTGGAACAACTCAACCCCAATGCCGACTGGCGCTTAGTGACTGGCATGATTGTGGACCTTGATATATTAAGAATCATCGACTAATGAACCATAATGACAGCTGAAGTCTACACAGAAATTTAATATGTAAGCGATACGTTTTATATTTTTAAGCTTGATAAGCTAATTAGAATTAGTCATGATTATTGTGAGAAAAGATAATACTGCAACCTAGTCACTGATTGTTTATTGAAACTGACGGAAGCCAGTGTCGGTCATTCTACTATGTACAAGCTACTTCTTGTGGCGTTTGACAAAACCCCCCGTCGACATCTCGCGCTTCTTGTGCAACGCCTCCAACTTGTTGTTGGTGTCGCGGGCCAGCTTGATCGCCGAGTCCTTCAGCCGCTTCACGAACCCTTGGTACCACTCGCTGATGGTCTGGGGCAGCTTGGGAGCGCCCTCGACAACGGGCGGCGCCACCATCGGCGGCAACTTCAACAACTTGCGGAAGCCAGCCAGACGCAAGAGCGTCGTCTGCACCAACGACAATACCGAGTTGGTGCAGAAGTAGAGCACCACCGCCGCCGAAAACGACTTGGTGATGAAGATCGACGCGATCGGCAACGCCATCATGAGCTTCTTCACCGGCTCCAGCATGGTCGAGCCCCCGGTCTCACCCCCCTTTCTGATCATCAACATCACCACCGCGGCAGTGATCGCCTGCAACCCCAAGTAGGGGTCGACCTGGGTCAAGTCGGTGAACCACGCCGTCCCCTGGGTCTCAAACCCTTCGACGTTGGCGTTACCCATCTTTCTCAACGCCTGGAAGAACCCGTAGGCCACCGGCAACTGGAGCACGGGCAACATCTGGTGCAGCATGTGGATGTCATGCTTTTTGAGGATCTGCTTACGCTGGTTCATCGCCTGGTACTGTTCTTGGGGCAGCAGCGCCTCTCTCATCGCCTGCATCGCCGCGTCAAGCTCGGGCTTCACCGGCATCATCTTGGCGGCGTTGGCCAGCGCCTTGGCGTACAACGGGAACATCACCGTTCTCACGGCCACGGTGGCGACGACAATCGTCGCCCACCACGGCAAACCCGTGTACACGTGGGCCGCCTCCAAAAGCCGTTCCACCATCGCCGTGGGACCCCACCCTTGGGCGAGGCCAATCAGCTCCAAGTAGCCGATCTGGTCGCTGTGCAAGGTGGTCTCAGGGATAGCGGTGGGGTGGTGGTCAAAGCCAAGCAACTTGTCCAGGATCTCGTCCTCTAAGTGGTGGAGTTTCTCCGCCACCGGTGACGACGCTTGCGCCAGGGCCAGGGCCAGAGCCAGGGCCAGCTGGGTCAGGTTGAACCGGAGCTGGGGTGCCCGTGCCCCTCGGAGGGGAGCGAGCGCCGCCGCTGCCGGCCGTATCGCCGCTCGGCTGCCGTATCCAACCAAGCGTAACATCGTGGAGTTCGTGTTAGTGCGCTGGGACAATCAGTGCACTAGTGAAAAATTTCACCGGTGCGAGGGGAGACCAAACTGAGTAAACTATCACGTCTTTAAATGAATTACTAGGATTGACTGCAGTCTCGATTATGGCTCAAGAGATGATTTAGAGAAAGTAGTGTTGATTTGTATCCAGATTTCGCCTACAGCTCCTCAAGTTAAGCTGGTAGCCATGATAATTTCAATTCTCTAAACAATTGATTAACTCGTAGGAAATGATATCATTGTGCTCAGCAAAAATGAATCCTTGTTTCAGCGACCGATTGAAGAGTTAGACTTAGTTAGAAACAATAATCGGCTATTTGGTTTGGTAAAGTTGTTGTTGCAAAAAAGCAGTCGTCGGTTGGGAGCCTGGTTCAACAAGGTAGGACGATTTTGATTTTCTGCCATAGTAGTTTATCAGGGAGGTGGGACGCCATGAGCAAACCATCCGCTTATAGACGATTCTCCGTAAACTCTGCTATAATCAGTAAATATACTAACATTGAAAACTTTTTTGATTGTAGAGCTTCCAAATGTATTCCGGGGTCTCCAGTTAAACTCGACGGGGCCATCGGTGCGCGGCATGGCGAGTCGAGGTCTCAGCCGCTATGGACGATGGCGTCTCCCCCGGTTACTCCACACCAAACACTCGCCTGAAGCCGACTATGATACCCGCAAAAACGACATCAACCTGAGCTGGTTCCCCCCCATCGCCAACACGCGTTCCCCGCAAGTGGCGCTTCTCCGGGTGCCTCAATTCAACGCCCATTTCTCCACCACCGATTTCGCTCAATGGCCCCAGCAACGGTCCCCGGACTTCTTCCGCGTCGAAGGCAGGGTCGGCGCCATCAGAAAGTCCGGCAAGGGGATGTACTTCATCGACTTGTACCAGGATGACGCCAAGGTGCAAATCGTGGCTACCAACAAGTTGATGGGCTTATCGCGGGACGAGTTTGAGGAGACCCACGGTATATTGAAGACGGGCGATTGCATTGGCGTTGAGGGCCAGGCCGGGCGCACTAACACCGGCGAACTTTCACTTAAAGCCCGGGCACCCGTCGCCATGTTGGCCCCGGCGCTGCGGTTACCCAATAAGCTCAGTGATAAGGGATTGATCAACGCTAACCGTGCCCTCTACTACCGAGTGGAACCCCAACTGAAACAGCCTATCGTCGTCAAGTCCCAGTTGTGTCGCGAGTTTCGCCAGTTCTTCGACCGCCATGGGTTTTTGGAGGTGCAAACGCCGATCCTCAGTGGTCCCGCCACCGGCGCCAACGCTAGAGGATTCCACACTACCGATATCCACGGCACCCAGCTCCTGTTGCGGGTGGCTCCCGAGCTCTGGTTGAAAAAGCTTGTTATCGGTGGCTTTGATAAAGTGTTTGAGATTGGGTGTAACTTTAGAAATGAGGGCATCGACGCCACCCACAACCCTGAGTTCACCCTGTGCGAGTTTTACCAGTCGTACACGCTGCTTGATGAGCTCATGCTGATGACGGAACAGCTTTTCGCCCAGTGCCAGCAATCGCTACAGCTGCCGGCGCTCGATCCACTTACCCGCTCCTATAAACGAGTGGAGTTTATCCCCGGGATCGAGGCGGAAACCGGCCACCCATTACCGGCCGAACTCACCCAGCCGAATCTCCACGACTACTGCCGGTTAGTGGGCGTCGACGTGAATCCCACAGAGCTGCCGGCCCAGATGTTGGATGCGCTTTCGCTGACGTTCTTAGAACCCATATCTCTCCGTCCCGAAAACTTAAACCATCCAGTGTTTATCTACCATCAGCCTGAGGCGATGAGTCCGCTAGCTAAGGGCACCACGAAGGTATATGGCGACCGCACCTACAATATTTCCCTCCGCTTCGAATTGTTCATCAACGGTAAGGAGTACGTCAATGCCTACGAGGAAGAGAATGACCCCAGTGCCCAGGAGAGAAAGTTCCGGGAACAACTCTCGTTCAATGACCAGTTTGGCGACGACGAGTCCCTTGTGCCCGATTGGCGTTACCTCGAACAAATGGAATATGGGCTTCCCCCTACGGGTGGCTGGGGGTGTGGCATCGACCGCCTAGCCATGCTCTTCGCTGGATGTGATCGTATCGAACAAGTGCAAACGTTTGGCACTGTTGATGATGTGATCAAGCAGTGATCTTGTACATAGCATTATACACATAATTGGTATTGAAACCCTATGGTACTATAATGTGTAACTGATTATTCTTCTACTATGCATATGTTCTCGTTTCCATCCGATATCATTTTTCAACATATGATCTCTTCAAAATACTGAGGCCCTTGCTAAACATACCATAGCAGATGTGATTCATCAGGGTGGTGCTAATTGAGCTGCTATAGATGCTGCTGCGTATTTGTAGTGTATTAAAGATCTTCGTTTTAAAATTAGGTACGATTAAACCGCCTGTTGCAACTTCTAGAAAGCAGTGGAATATGATTCGACTCACTTTTGTCTAGTACAATCGTCTCCCAATCTTTCTCAGTAGTATCTCGTCGTGGTGTAGTAGCTCTTCATTAATTACTGCCACTAACATCCAAACCGTTAAAAAGTAGTTCCCCAAAAAGACAGATACAAGATGGGTTCATGATGAGATCTCTTCGATGGATAACAATTCGGGTAAATTGCATTCCTCATAACTCCACATCTAACTAACAATACAAATGTGAAAGCTTCATGGATTACGATTCGTACTACTTCCGATCGGGATTCTTTGCCCGGATCTGAAAGTTAAACGCTGTCTCGAAATCTCGAAAGATGTACAAAAATGTGCGTTTGTCGTCCTGGGAGGATCTCCCCTTCAGCAGGAAGTACTTATCGTTAAGCAAATCACAAAACCCGCACATCACCCACCAAAAAAATCCAATCTTTCGAATGTCCTCGATGTATATTTCAGGGTCATGACAGTGATGCAATTCATGAATAATGTACTTTACGCACTCGACAAATTTTACCCCGCTCCAGCTGTCGATTTGGTCCAAGTGATGGTAATAGTCAATTTGGGCACGGCGCGGTTCCGACGTGGACGCAGTAGTTGCAACAGTGCCGTAAACGACTTGTTGTTCAAGTCGAGCGATCGCCTGCTTCAACTGGTGGCTCTCCTCCTTGAAAACCTCTCAATATTTCCTGTTTGAGCAGCGCGATCTCTTGGAAGAGTGCCGTGACATCTGAGCCGTGAGCACTGATGCCGTGAGCACTGATGCCGTGACCTCTGGATGCCGTTTCAGCAGTATTGGCAGCAACTGGTACCTGGTCCTGACGTCTCTCACTGGAACCGGCGACATCAAGGCGAGTTCGGGATTCCATTGGGTAATGGTGTCCGGAAAGTTCATAATTGGTAGGAAAAATTCTAGCAAGCAGCAGAAAACTAAATTCATAGTACCGCCGTCGGTTAGAGTAAGGCGAGAATGGAGCGAAAAACACCACTAAATCACATCCATTAGCCTGAAAAAAGTGGTTTACGAAGAATTACCTCGTTCTGAACAGCCCCACCTCAATAGATCATAAATTTAACCACGCTTATGGGGATACATCGTCGCACTCAACGTATCAGGGTGGAATTAGACCGACACAACTGTAGTCGCTGTGATCACGACTACACGCCCCCTCGACACCAATTGACAACCGCTTGGGGGAAACCATAGGCACAGCCATCTCAGGACTAATCCGGTGCCCACCAATTGTGGCATCCTTCCAGTCCTGACCATGCCACTCCAGTACCTGACCTTCCCTTCGCCTTATTCCCACCACTTCCAAACTCATCATGACCGAAATTCAAGACCACTGGTTCCACAACCTGCCTTCCGCGTTTGGTTCTAACAATCGTCGCAATGACTCAATTCTAGCCCCCTAACCTCGTTCACTGTAAGAAACTCCAAGAGGGCAGAGAAAAAAAAAAAAAAGCAACACCGCGGTCCTGTAATTCCAACAACTGAATTAACAACGCCATTCTCCCCCGTATCTAACATCACCAACCATCGCCACGGCTTACTCAATCAACAAAACGTTCGGTTTTTAATAAATATCATCACTATTTATTTGTGTCAGCGACCAGCAACAATTATACCATTTCGGCGTCGTCATACACCGGCTCACCTTCAGCCACTTCCACTGCCTCGGCAGCACCACCAGCCAAATCCGCATCGTCACCACCGCCACCGATTCGGCGAGTGGCGTAGCTAATCGCCAACGGCCTGCCACCGTAGTTGTAGCCGTCCAACAGCTGGATCGCCAGCAGAGCAAGCTCTTCCAGGTCAAATTGCACCACGGCGGTGCCCAGCAGTTGGCCCCGTTGGTTGAATTGGAGTTCAGCTTTCACCACACGCCCGACGGTTTCGAACAAGTCGAACAAGTCGTCTTGCGACGTTTCAAACGGCAAGTTACCGACAAAGATGATGTCGCTGGGGTCACCCTGGCCAACAACGCCCTCGGTGAACTCAGTATTAGAACCTCTAATCCCCCGTTCTTTAGGTGGGCGCTCGCGGGTTTGAATGCGGCCACCATGGCCAGGACGAGTGTCGAGACGACGGCCGCCGATCTGGTAGCCAGCGAACCGTTCAATGGCCCGTTGCGCCTCTTCTTCGTTGGAGAACACCACCGTGCCGAACCCGCGCAGACGGCCGTTGCCATCGGTACGGATTTCCACCAGCTCCACCTTACCTGCTTCCAGGAAGAGGTCGCCGAGCTCGTCGCGGGTCACTTGGAACGGGATGTTGCCAATGAACACTTCGGGAGTGATGGGGCCATCGTAAGTAGGGCGATCATTGCGGCGCTCACGGCGGTCGTCGCGACGGTCATCCCGGCGTTCGTCGCGCTCGTAGCGGTCGCCACGACGGCTATCACGGTCGTAGCGGTCACCACGACGATCACGGCGGTCGCCCCGGTCGTCGCCGTCGTCGCCATCGCCACCGGGAGGCGGGTAGTCCTGGCGCACAAAGATTTCCCGCCCGTTCATCACCTTGCGGTCAAATAATCTGATGGCGCGGTCGACGTCGTCTTTAGTGGCAAACTCCACCGTGGCCATCCCCTTTGAACGCCCGCGCGACGTCACCACGTCGGCACGAATCACGTCAAACAGCCCCCCCTCGGCCTCCTCAAACATCCGCTTGACGTCAAACGCCAGCTGGGTGTAGGGGATGTTGCCGACGAAGATCAGGTTGTCGTAATTGCGAACACTCTTGTTGCGGGAGTCGTCGTCGGTGACGGTGGAGAACGCCCCGGACGAGTGGTGGCGTGAGTTGTAGTCACGGGTTTGGAAACGCCCGCTGCCCCGGTCGCCGCGGTCACCACGGTCGCCGCGATACCCGCCACGGTCGCCCCTGTAGCCGCCACGACGGTCTCCCCGGTAGCCACCGCGACCGCCGCGGCCCAGGTCGCGCCGCGGCGACCGGTCTCGTTGCGGTGAACGTGTTCTTTGCGGAGACCGCTCGCGGTCCTAATATTGTTAGCATCTCAACAAATTGTATAGTATGGGGGGCATTGCTCGCCGTTCCAAGACTTCCAGCTTTAGGTGCATACACCAGCAACTTCAGCAAGGGGCGCCGGCGTCCAATGCCGCCCCCCAAAGGCGACTTACTCTTGTGTATCCGTCGATCTCCATGTCCATCTGTGTGGTGGTAGCAGGAGGTTGTTAGTTAAGGGTGGCGCGAATTCGTCGCCGAAAAACTGCGATCCCCGCGAAACGCGAGGCTGAGACGCGAGGGGAAGTGTACTAAGTATATATCGCCTTTGAAATGAGTTGATGATGTGTCACCAAAGCTATGGTTAGTCGGTGGAATATAAGTTGGTGCTGGGTCTTTTAGCTGATATGCTGTTTCTGGATTATTTCATCACTCCACAACCATGTAATGGAGTCCCCGTGACAAAGACTTTTCCTTTCTCCGTTTGTAAAATAGTCGTTTTGAAGTCGATTTGAAAGAATAATGTGGACTACAAAATTTACCTAGTGTGGTTGGGTGGCAAGTTCTACTGGTATTGGTCGTGTATAATCTCCATCTTGAGGCTGATTTACAGTTATCCATTATATACGTTCGCGATCTATTCGTCAGCAATCATCAAAAATATCTTTCCGTCCGAGGAGAACATGTTAAACGTCGTCTACTTGCCTGGGTGCCTTATTTTTGCGTTGTTTGCCGATTGGTTTGCGGGGGGAAATCTCCTTCACTATCGAGTTAATGCGCCATGGGGTCGTTGACATTTAGACGCAATATGGTTAGTTTCATGGCGACGCTTGGCTTCTCCTACCACCGTTGGCTCCAGTGATATTACGAGACTTAAATTGGTTTGGAGCTGGTACTGATCCAGATTAACTTGGCGTTTGTTGATTTTCGAAATTGCTGATTATATCATTGAGCAAGCGGCAAATCAATGCCACGTTGGAGAATTCCAGAGGCGATACAAAATTGATGCTAGCATTCGCGCTTTCTTGCCAGATGACTGGTCCGTTTCATCTTAACATCAGTTGGTTTACAAAGACAGCCCAGGGTCAGCGAAGAGGCAATGGGATGGATGGTAGTGCAGCACCAGGTAAAGCAATCTGACCCCATTACCCACCACCACTTATGGAATGTGAGTATGACTTCATCGTCGGTTACTGATGAACTCATGTTAATTGCAATACTATTTGTCTTGAGCTGTTTATCACTTGATGTATAATCCAACCATGGCGTATACACCAAGAGATAAAGAGCCTATGTGACGATTGTCAAAATCTAAGATATACTGGTGCCCCGGACCAGCGTCCCACCCACCTCCACTCACAAACCCTACATTTGCAAATGGAAGCCGGCACCACCCTCTCCAGCAACGTCCTGGCTACTACTAGATCCCCAGGGTGGCCAACCCTGATAGTGGGGGAAATAGCTTCACCAAAGAGCAGTTGCTCGCAACTATCTTAGCGCTCGGCGAAGTCACCACTGAACTGCAACAGATCAGATGGCAACATTATTTGAATCTCCCACTAGTATTAACAAGGAAACCAACAAGGAAATCATCAAGGAAATCATCAAGGAAATCAACAAGAAAAGCAGCAACCAAATCAACCAAATCAACAACGAGGATGATGACGGGAACTTCGTGAGCGTCGTCCCAGGAGATCACGTTTAGGAGTTATCAGTCACTGACTCCTGTGAGAATATCTCGTCACCACACCACAGCCACGACACCTGGGGGCCGTCACCCCCAAAGCGAAGCGGAACCACAGCGTAGCGACGCGGAACCCATAACCCGACACGGGCTCAAGCGGGTCATCTCATACCCCCGAGACCAACGAAATAGCCGGTTCATCAGGCAGTAATCCTCGATTACCCTCATTACCAGTTAAGGCGTCGTCACACTGAAACCAGGGAGTCAATGGCGGCTCTGGGATTGGAAATAGAACCATCATTTTGTAGCGTCAGCAAACAACTAAGTAATAGGAATCGCCCAGCAGGTGTCTTTGACCCTCGGTAGTCCATGTCCCTGCTTATAGCGTGAGCTGACGTAGCAGACCACCTCCACTTCGCCTGAGTGTGTCCGTCGTTGGCCAGAACCACATGGCAATAACCGGTCCAAGGGTGGCCTCAGGAGACTGCGGGATGACGAGAAGCACCGCGCCTCAAGCTCTGCTTTGTGAATCTCCCTACCGCTCGTGGGGGGATCTTTTGTCTCGGGAAAGACATACAGCTGACTGGGGCTACCAACAGAGCCATCCGGGGAAGTGCTGCATCCACCGGCGTCCCGGTAGACCATTACCCCCCTTCAGACAATGCTGGTAGAAAGCCAAGTGGTGGAAAAGGATGAAGAGTAGAGAGCGGCAATGGCAGTATTTATAGTCGCTGACGGCTATACGACGGTGGTCACCGTTTTTTGCAATACGCCTATGAGCTATACGAAATTTCCGTAAATACATGACCATGTGACAGGAGGGTCAACGGAACTTTGAGTTATTATGGGTATCAAAATAATCAGCGGACCTGGTTTAACGACACATCTTTTCCCCAGAGTTTTTTATCGTTGTTGTATCGTATTTTGGATCGACCACAATGCGAGCCTTGATCGATGCTCACTGCGAGGAGTACGGAAGATGGCTGGCTGTAGCCTATTTGGGGAAGTGCGGCTCACGTAATTTTCGTATAGTGGGGAGGCGGCGTCGTCAATGCGACGAGGGCGGAAGCTGTGCTCGATTAATTGGTCCAAATAACCAGCGGTTTGTGCCCAACAGAGACCTGGGATTGAAGGTGTGACGTCAAGGCGTGCTTGCATTGCTGTTGGTGCCCAGAGCTCCCCTGATGCACTGATGTGTCAAAGTGTGGGGGGCTTGCATAAGATTAAGCGTAGACAGTCTAGAGCGATCAATGACGTCATCGTAGTATCTATACGTTCCTACGTTACTCGTATACAACGAGAGAAATGACGATTGATTATAAGTTATGTTTGCACTGTCGCAGCTGTTCTTCTACTGTTTTATCTACTTGTCACCGTAGTAAAGTCGACGAATGGTTTAAATGTGTGCAGTAGCAAGTGCTAGAGGAAATTTTCGTCGCACCTCGAAACGACCGAGTTCATTTGAGGGGCGTGCTCACCGTACGCGTATTTACTAAATGCGTCGATACCGCCATGAGCTAAAATCACGAACCATCTCAAAATCTGTACTACCGGTGAGTATTTTACGGTATCCCTTCTACTGTTACTGTTAGGCTGATACCCATTCCCATTCCTATGCAATTACCTGTGATCGGAAACAAGCCAGTCTACGCTCCGCGGTATGGTAACACACGAGTCAAGTCATGGGTCAAGAATTGATCATGCCATCGATTGCACGTTGATCTACCTTAGGTCAATATAAGCTGTATACTTCGGTATTGATTTATATGACTCCCGCCAATGGATTTCGCTCTTGGTGGGGCTTTGGCTTTTATGGGGGCGAAACCAGAGGCATCGGTCTCGGTTAGCGGCAGCGAGCACACCCGCCTCCTTTGGTTGTTTAACACTCAAAAACCCACCCTAGCATTGATTGTCCTCATATTTAGTCGTAAACGTCTATGACTATTGGATTTCTCCGAGAGCACTCGAAGTTAAGATCTATCGCCACCATGGATCAACGCTACCACAGACACTAATTATTCACCAAAAGAAAGACACGGCCATGACTCCACTATTCTTTCTAATTCACATGCTTTACTCATCGGACGGTGACCCCTTGATTATCAATAGTGGCGAGCCCTACATACGGAATTTGTTCGCATCCGATGGGCCTCGGTCGGGGTCGGAGTTCGAGGGAGGCGATCTAGACCATCGGCTGCGACCACTATAAATATCACACGGCTGCCAACCACAAATCCATCAATTCCATATGATGATGTACTCAATCAAAACCTACGTGCCCTGCCTCTACCGCTCGACGCTGGCAATTAACGTTAAGACTGCTACCAACGAATCTCGAGGGTATTCCGACTCTGATGGCGACTCGGAGTTTTCCTACCCCGAATTCAAGCTGGTGGCGTGCCCTCCCAATAGCCCCGACTTGCCGTGCGCTGACGAAGACTACGAATTGCCAGACTTCTCCGAGGACGACGATTGCGACAACTGGTCGCTCTGAATTGCGGATGATAAATCTGATGATGATGATATTAATGACAAACACTACTGGTACATAAGCTCTCCCATATGGAGATATAATTGCATGCAAAATTTCTGGATAATCGGTAGAGTCTAGCCTGTGGGCCTCGGAGCACAATAACACCGAGCGCCGCGAACATTTGTCAGCCGTTCCGAAAGTGTGGGGCGCGTCTAGAACGGGTGCAAAAAGAAAGAGGAGGCCATTCGCACTATTTCTCGAATGAGCAACCCCCGAGGAAACGTCGGCGTTGCCCCCAAATCGTAAACCTACCGAAGCTCGCCTAACATCTCTCCCAGACGACCACTTTCGCCACTGATCAGCATCAGTACTCGTAACTGGTAGAGCCCAGGGTACATCATTAGGCCATAAGAAGCCTAGGTTGAACCGATTCGATGAGTTCGTGGTAGTATCTGATGGTTCGTGCCAGTGCAACTGTAAGCAGCGTATGCGGACCAGCTTGAGCCACTTGATCTGCCTGATTTATTACTTCCCCTGATTGCCTAAAGTCTCCCGGAATCAGAATGCCGATGAAACGTTGAAATGGGTGTGGAATTGATCGCTTAGTGCAATACAGCTCACACTAGTGATGTCGCCGACAAACGCCATCACTCCACAAAGGAGAGTGTGGGTGTGGGGACATTGTTGTGGTCATGTATTAACGAATGAGTGTCCTTTAAATATCGAATCATTCAATTCAACACCAGAGGTGGCGGTCACAACTACTACCGATGGGTAATTGAGTTGTTTTTCAATATACGTCTAAAATTCAAGATTTTCGAGTTTTCGCACCCATAAGCACAAGCGGTCCCAAGTAGAAAATGAAGCCAAGCGAATGGGTATACATTACTATTTCGATCTATCTTTATGTTTTGCCAATGAATCTACCCACTACTATCATCTAGTAACCTCAACCGATCTTCTCGTCTGCCTAATTTTGAGGTACTTGAAAGCTATGGGCGACGAAGGAGAAGAAGCAGTTATATATTCGAGAAATGATGACCAAAAAGTAATTAATCACTCTCAGAGTCTACGACTTCATCAGAATTCATGGGGCACAACAAGAATCCACAGTTTGAGAACAATTGGGGTAGTTCCCAAACGTCTGTTTGGTTCTCTGCAGAGAAGCCCTGCCTTTGCATTCCATGCTAGGGTGCGAAAAATCCGGTCTAAACCAAACTAAAAGATATCGCTTACGGCATTGTGCCCCTTACTCCGGCGCAGACACTAATCAAATCTGACACCAGCATTCTCGTTAGCAGCAGCACAAAAGATCGTTTATTGGTTGATTTATTCGTCACCATTTACGACTCGATCAAATCGGTTGTCCACGATTGGTGCCACATGAGTGTGCGGACGTTGACCACGAGTCCTTTAACAATAGCGCCTGAAATTTAGAGCGTCCGCCACAGGCCGCCACAATGTCGCTTTAGCGGTAAAACTGCGGGCTGATCACGGAGCTCATAAATTGATAAAAACCCAAAATTTCCTTACTGCAATTCTCTCTCAATCATGGTGTCCTTTATTGTCCCGTTTTTGGTGTCCTTGGCCGCCGCATTGATAGCCACAGATCAAGCGCCAAAACCGCTTTCATTCACTTTGAACAAGCACCCGAAAACGCTGGTGGTACGACCTCTTCGTGGTGGCTCTGTTTCCGATGTTCAGATCGAAGTTGCGAGTGTTAATGCTAATGCACGGCTCTTCTCAGACGGGGAAGGCTACACCATCAATTTGGGGATCATTGATGAAGACCAACAGTTGCTGGTGCTTTTGGATACCGGGTCCGCCGACTTGTGGGTTGACGCTACTAAATTAAATGATACCAATGGGTTTACGAAAGTCGGCATACCATTTGCCATTGGCTACGGCTACCTGTCGAGCGTACGGGGCGATTATGGAACCTCGTCAGTGTGGCTTGAGAACGGCCTTGAAGTCAAAGACCTCCGGTGGGTATTGGCCTCTGACGTTCAGTTAAACGGTACCATTTACCCGGGGATTCTTGGGGTAGGCAGAGTGCTTAATGAAGCCACGAGATCCCACTACCCTAACTTCCCGCAAAAATTGAAGGATAACGGCTTGACTACGTCCAATTCGTACTCGTACTACCTCAATAAGCTTGGGGCTGCCACTGGTAATATCATCTTTGGCGGGCGTGATCTTGCCAAAGTGAAAGGTCCCGTGGCCACAATCAACTCCAACCCTAAAATTGGCTACGATTCAGTTACGGTCCTGAAATTGACCACCAGTGATGGCGTCTCGGTTAAAGGGTTTGAAGGGTTTTTGGATACTGGGACCACATTGACATTTCTCCCCGAGGAAGTCATCACCAGTTTGAACGTCACCGGCGTCTACGTTGACCAGCACCTGTATTACATCGCTTGTGATCAACCGGAAGATAAATACGTCTCGTACTGGTTTGACGACGCGGAAATTAAGGTGTCGTATAAGGACTTAGCGCTCCCTGAAACTGACGACCTGGGTAAGCTCACTGGGAGGTGTGTGTATGGCCTTCAAGCTGGTCCTCCTTATGTGTTTGGAGATACGTTTTTGCGCAGTGCTTACATTACTACCAACCACGACACCAACCAGGTGTTGATCTCCGCCGTTGAGTATACCGACGAGGAAAATATCGTCGCCATTTGATTGATCTTAAATAGTAATAATGAGAGACTATCGTAGCCTAAAATTCAATGCAATTGTACCATTATCCAAAGGTAATATTTTTTTTGTTTTCCATTATCATAAGGTAGTGTGTACTCGTATCAAATCTACTAATGTCTTTTCGGAGTTTATTACCACGGATAAATAGGATTCACTATATGCATAGGTTTAGATATCGCCCTGGCGATGCAAACCGTTGAGGATGGAGATGAGGGAGAGGAACGACGCCTGCGACACGTCCTCGTGGATCCCCACACCCCAGCGCGCCACCTTCTGGTTGAGGGCGACCTCGATATAGGTGGCGGCCTTGGCGTTGGCGTCCTTACCGAGCGAGTGTTCGTGGTAGTTCTTGACGTCGATGTCGATGGCGAACTGCTTGGCCAACGCGTCGTTGAACGCCGACAATTGCCCGTTACCCTTACCGCTGACCTTGACGATCTTGCCGTCAACGGTGAGCTCGGCGTCGATCTGCTTGAGACCCTTTTCGGGGGTGGAAATCAGGTAGTCGACAAGCTTGAAGTACTCGTTGTCGCCGTTGTCCTCGACAAAGTATTCCTGCTTGAACAACTCGATCAACTCGTTGTTGGTGAGCTCCTGGCCCTTGGCCTCGGCGGCCTTTTGCACCACCTTCGAGAACGCCACCTGCAAACCGCGGGGCAAGTCGAGTTCCAAGTTTCTGAGGATGACCCAGGCGGAACCACCTTTACCCAGTTGCGAATTGATACGGATAATCGCTTCGTAGGTACGGCCAATGTCTTCGGGGTCCAAGGGCAAGTAGGGGATCTTCCACAACCCGTCGGTGCGCTTGGTGATGGCGTTGAACCCCTTCTTGATGGCGTCCTGGTGCGAACCCGAGAACGCACACACCACAAGCGAACCACCATAGGGAGCGCGGGCGGGGACGGGGATCTTGTTACACTTTTCCACCACGTCGACCACCAGCTTCATGTCGCTGAAGTCCAAGTTGGGCGAGATCCCTTGAGTATAAAGGTTAAGCGCCAAAGTGACGATATCGACGTTACCGGTACGCTCACCGTTACCGAAGACACAGCCTTCGACACGGTCACCCCCGGCCAATTGGCCAAGTTCCGAGGCAGCCACACCGCAGCCACGGTCGTTGTGCACGTGGAGCGACACGCACACCGAGTCGCGGTTGGGGATGTGGGTGCAGAAGTACTCGATCTGGTCGGCGTAGACGTTGGGAGTGGCCATTTCCACGGTGGCAGGCAAGTTGAAGATGATTTTGTGGTCAGGCAGAGGTTCCCAGGCTTCCATCACCGCGGTACAGATCTCGACGGCGAAGTCCAAGTCGGTATCGGAGAACGTTTCCGGGGAGAACTCGTAGTCCCAATGGGTCGCTTGCTGAGTAGGGTCGTCTTTAGTCAAAGAGCGCACAAGCTTAGTGCATTCGACAGCCAATTTAAGCGATTCCTGTTTCAGCATGCCAAACACGACGTCTCTAAACAACTCCAGAGTGGCGAGGTAGCAGTGCACGGTGGCTCTTTTAGCTCCCTTTAACGACTCCACCGTCCGGCGGATCAATTCCTCACGACAGGCAGTTAAAACTTGGATGGACACGTCGGCGGGGGCGTTTTGCACCGCCCACCGAGTGAAGTCAAAATCGGGCTGCGACGCCAGCGGGAACGCCACTTCGATCTCCTTAAACCCGACCTCGACAAGCTTATTGAAATAAACCTTTTTCTCTTCCACAGACATGGGATCGGGCAACGACTGGTTGCCGTCTCTCAAGTCGGTCGAGAGCCATCGCGGCGCCTTAGTGAGCTGGCGACTGGGCCACTGGCGGTTGGGTAAGTCCACGGGGGGGAACGGAGCGTACTTGGTCGAAGGGTCTTTGAGCATCGGCATCTTTGGATAGGCTCAGTCGTCGACTTCAGGGGGTGGCGGAAATTTGGATTTCCTTTTTTTTTTTTCTCCTGGTCGACGGACACGAGTTTGCGGCAACTTATATAGTGTGGGGCGAGCGCCCGGTGACGGAGTATGACTAACAGGTGCGGAACCGGAGCTAGCGTGCATGCGGCAGGCGTGATGAAAAATTGCGGTTGCCGGCGGCTATCGGTGGCACAGGGTGCGTAGAATGCTTATAGCGGGCTATGGAGAGTGACTCAGACGGTGTTGGGCGATGCCGGTACCGGACAGCTTACATTTATTGCACCGAGGCTAATGGTGCGGGAAGTGGGGGGGTTCTTTGAAAGAAATCATCCCACACTCACGGCTGAGAGGGGCGTGGGTTTTTCTTTTTTCAAGTGAGTCATATACAGGTGACATCTGAGCATTAATGAGGTGGGGGGGGGTCAGAGCATGGAAGACGATGGAAAACGTGGGGAAACGTGAGTCATAAACGCTGTTGAAAAGTGGGACAATACTGGTTAAGGAGTAGTGCCTTTGAATCAGTTGTAAATTGGTAAACTGATCTTAACTGGATTAATTTTTCGGTGCGGTTGTGGGGTGCAAATCGCTGGTTTAGTCAGAGTGGTTACCACGATCGGTAGTGACTGATCTGGGGGTATGCGTTTGAAATACAATCTATAAAATGGAAACTTGACCCTGTTTGAGAATGGTGAAATCACCAATAAACTGTTATTTCCGTTGATGGTTTCAATTGCCTCATACTTATTCTTTTGACTACTTTTACAAAATGAAAATTAATGTTTGTTGATGATTTTTTGGAAAATTCGGATAGGCAATGCATACTTGTACATCAAAGTTATTTCCGTCGGCTCAGAGATATGTCGAGTCTTAGGTATTTAATTTTTCATCTCAGCTCCTTAATGAGATCACCGTGGATCACAAGGGATCACAATGACGAAACCATTTGAAGATGTAATGGATGATTGTTCGCTGTTCAATCTCAAGAATGTACTCAGATTCGAATTTTTTTTTTTCATACCGGAATCTATCCATTATTATATTACATCATAATTAAGCTGTTACTTGGAACCAAAGTAGCCACCCAACACCGCGGCCAAGATGATGGCGATGATGAGCAAAATGATCAAACACCAGATCTTCTTCTTTCTCCACGCCCGCGCCAGCTTCACCGCCTTGTTGGTGTGGCCGGCCCCCTGCTCGATGTCATGCTGCGCCTGTTGCACCTGGGCCTCGATCTGCTGGATGGGCTTCTCCTGCTCGATCACCAACTCCTCCATGTCGTTGAACAACTGAGTCAACTCCGCCATCGTCTTCTCAAGCTTGAGCAACTCGCGGTGGCGCACTTGCACCTCGTTCAACACTGTGCGGGCCTCACCCCGGCGGTTCAGCTGCAAAAGCGCCTGTTGAAAGTATTGGTTGTCGCCGTTCTCCACCACTTGGCGCACCTCTTCGTCGGTAGCATCAGGTTTGACGATGAGGTACTGTCTTTCCGCCTGAGTCTTCGTCTGTTCGCGGTTGTTCAGCTCCACTTGTCGGTAGTCCTGGATCAAGTCCAAGAACCGCTTGCGGCAGGTGTCGGCCTGGTCCAACTTCTGCTGGTCGCGCTGGTGGACGGCGGTTTCCTGGGCGTTGCGGATGCGTTGTTTCAATTTCGCCTGGAGCGACTGCGCCTCGGCCACCAACGAGTCAATCTGCTTCAGGTTGTACTCGGTGTCCTCCTCGTTCAAGTCCAAGTCCTGCAAGAAGTTTCTCTGCTTGTTGGCGATCAAATTGATGAGGTTCAGGTACTGGTCGAGCTGGGAGTTGATGTCCTGGATCTCCTCCATGTAGGCGACAAACTCCAGCTCGCCAGGGGCGGCGTGCTGCGGAGCCTGGGCGTACCCGCCGTTCCCGTAGGGATTCAGCGAGAACTGGCCCATCTCGTAGCTGTTGTGCTGCTGGTAGCTCATTGTTGTCACGGTGGAGAAATTTGGCGAGATTTAAATTTGGACTCGTCACCGCGCCTCGGTGCAGGAACACTCAAACATAGGCGGAGCCATTAGCCCCCCCACCGTGACGATACTGACAAGTGATGGTGTTTCGTAGTTTGGTGTTAAATATAGCCGTGCATCGTCGCTACGCCTCATGCTACTCAGTTGGTGGTGCTGTGGTGGGTGTTGGCCCAATGAGGGTGTTTGTTTATGGTCGTCGCATATCCCTCACTACACGAGCGATATATGGGATGGTGACGATCGGCTAGCAGATTAACCCCGCGATGGCGCCTGGTGACCGGGTTAGGCGTCGCTAGCGCCGATCTGCCCATGCCGTAGTCACTGGCCGACGACGATCTCCCGAACCGCGGCTGCCGGCGTAGCGTGACGAGGGCTTTTTTTGCCCCGGATTTTTGCCTCATCGGTACGAGGTCATTTACACTAAGGGTGGACGCTACACAGCCTGGAACTCCCCCCTCGCCAAACTAGGAAGAGCGTGTGCCACTGACTAAGTCTACGGCATATATACCATACTGCTAGACTTCATCAATTATTTCAATTTACTCGGCTACCGTTATCGTTTGACAGCGGCATCGCGAGCACGGCTCCCCAGCACAAAGCAATTCCCGCGGGGCTCGTTTCTTTTCCCCTGGCACTCGCACTATCTCGCACCTCGCACCTAGTGGCACCGCACGAAAGTTCGCACGGAGAGAGGAAAACCGCGAGCTAGTGACGTCAGCGGCAAAACCGTTTTTTCGTTAGTGGTACGCGCCGAGCCGAATGAGGGGGGTGTGTAGAGAAATCGACACACTCACATGGCAGCCCCCCGTAGATCTCCACCCCGCCACCCCTCTCTAGCGATTAACTGATGAAACTTCTGCCGGAGACGTCGCCAAACTACTCGTACTGCCTCAAATACGCTCGGGGGCACACCCCGAGAGCTCCAGGGGCGACCACGAACCCTCACGACCATCTTGACATTTGTTACCGAAAATACACCACCAAACGCCCAATCAGTGGCCAGAAGCTCAACTTGGTGTTTTGCCATGGCAATGGCATGAACAAGGGGATCTGGCACGTGCTTATCGACCAGTTATACGGCAATTACCCCCAGCTTAATACGGTACTAGCGTTCGACCACGCCCCCTACGGCGACCTGGCCTTAGCCAATCGTACTCGTTTAGGCCCCGGGTTCCGCTGGCGGGACGGAGCAAAAGATATCGCCCAAGCCACGGTGGCAGAACCAGCATTTCTCGACCCTAACGCCATTAATGTGATTATCGGCCACCTGATGGGCGGGTGTATACTGTTGATGGTGGTGGAGTACGAGCCGAGATTGTTCCAGGGAGCCATTGTCATCAATCCGGTGGCGGTCGCCGACGAGGCGTGGGTGAAACGGATGGAGTGGTACTTGCCGATGTTGAGAAAGCGGGGCTATCTCCAGGATACCATCGATACGTCGTCGTCGCCGGGTCCGTGGGTGGACCAGGTGCTCCAGTGGTTCAAAACTAAGCTGTTTTATCACCGGTTTGACCCGCAAGTGCTTAACAATTTGGTCCACGACGAAGTGCTGGGAGTATACGAAGATGACCGCTCCTATAGCGAAATCAAGTTTAAAACTACCACCAGAGCTCAGGAAGAAGGCTACGCCAGCTCGCCGCTGAATGCGCTTGAAGCAATGACGGTGTACGGGTCAATTACCGTTCCCATATACCACATTTGTGGGCGTCAAGATACGGTACGCCGGGGGCTTGTGGAGCTGTTACGTCGCCGAGTACCCGTAGTGGAGTATGTTGACGTCCCGGGGTGTTTCCACTTGATGCACGGCGAACAGCCGGGTATCACCTATGAGTATGTCAGTGGCTATATTCGTAAGATATTGGCTAATCCCGGGGAACGGCCAATCACTGATAAAGCTACCCAGGCTCAATTTGGTGACCACTACCGGGAAAAGTACTACGAGTACCGTACCGAGGGATTTATCAACGGTAAGCTTTAATTGTACTCACCTCACAATCGAATCAATATATTCATAACATGTCGTGTCTAAAATAGTAACAAACAGTAATTTATCACTGTAGCTTCCACGTTTCATATCAGATCAAACCAATCAAATACTAATTTGATGGATCATCTTGTGGCTACTGCTAGCTAGCCGTGCGAGAGCTTATAAGGTGCCACCACGCCACCACCACCGACTCAACTACTAAAAAAAACACTACATACGTATAACCTATCCCCGCTGAGTCTAATTGGAGCCTCAATTAATCGAAATTTCATCTCCTTCCTCACCACTCTCCTGTCCCGCCTTGCCACCATCATCGCACCGAAAATTTCTCACGACACGGTTTCGCTTGCCTCATGTCTGACCAAGATAAATTGTCCCAGGACTTCAACAAGGCGTCGTTGAACGACGAGTACGGCCAGGGGTACAACCCGCAGGCGCTGCTGTTTGTCCCCCAAGGTGGTTACCAGGGCTACGACGGCTACCAGCAAGGCGGCTACGGCGACTACAACCAGTACCAACAGGGCGGCTACCAGGGCGGCTACCAGCAAGGCGGCTACCAGCAAGGCGGCTACCAGGGCGGCTACCAGCAAGGCGGTTACCAAGGTGGCTACCAGGGTGGCTACAACCAATACCAGCAGGGCGGCTACGGCGGCTACCAGGACTACTACGCCCAGCAGCAACAGCCCCAGGGGATGTCGCTTGCCGATTTCCAAAAGCAACAAGCCGACAGTGCCAAGAGCTTGAACAAGCCCGCGGCTCCCAAAAAGAAGTTGACGTTGTCGTCGCTGTCGGGGATCAAATTGGCCAATGCTAAGAAGCCCGAGCCGAAGAAGGAAGAGGCTAAGGCTGAAGCTAAGGACGAAGCTAAGGCTGAAACCAAGGCTGAAACCAAGGCTGAACCCGTTAAGGCTGAACCTGAAGTGAAGGAAGAGGCGAAGAAGGAGCTGACTCCCGCGGCCACTCCTAAGGCGGCGGCTACTTCCGCTGCTGCCACGCCCAAGGAGCTGACCCCTGCTCCTGCGGCTAAGCCCAAGGCTGCTGAGCCTGAAGACGTCGTTGACGAGGAAATTGTCAAGGAAATGTTCGGCGGGAAGGACCACTTGTCGATCATGTTCATGGGCCACGTCGACGCCGGGAAGTCGACGATGGGGGGCAACATTTTGAACTTGTGCGGCGCCGTCGACAAGAGAACGGTCGAGAAGTACGAGAAGGAGGCCAAGGACGCGGGGAGAACCGGGTGGTACTTGTCGTGGATCATGGACACCAACAAGGAAGAGAGATCCGACGGTAAGACCATCGAAGTGGGTAAGGCTTACTTTGAAACCGACAAGCGTCGTTACACCATCCTCGACGCCCCGGGGCACAAGATGTACGTGTCGGAGATGATTGGCGGTGCGTCGCAAGCCGACGTCGGGATCTTGGTGATCTCGGCGAGAAAGGGGGAATACGAAACTGGGTTCGAAAAGGGCGGTCAAACCAGAGAACACGCGCTTTTGGCCAAGACCCAGGGGATCAACAAGATCGTGGTGGTGGTCAACAAGATGGACGATCCCACCGTCAACTGGTCCCAGGACCGGTACAACGAGTGCACCACCAAGTTGGTGCAGTACCTCAAGGGGATCGGCTACCGTGCCGAAGACATTGTGTGCATGCCGGTGTCCGGGTACACTGGTGCCGGGCTTAAGGACAGAGTCGGCAGCGCCTGCCCTTGGTACACCGGGCCCCTGTTGCTCGAGTTCTTGGACAACATGCCCACCGAACACAGACAGATCAACGCCCCGTTCATGATGCCGATCTCGGGGAAGATGAAGGACATGGGGACCGTCGTCGAAGGTAAGATCGAGCTGGGCCACATCAAGAAGAACCAGACGCTCGTGATGATGCCCAACAAGACGTCGGTGGAAGTGATCACCATCTACAACGAAACCGAACAAGAAGCGGACTCGGCCTACTGCGGCGAACAGGTGAGACTCAAATTGAAGGGGGTCGAGGAAGAAGACTTGTCCCCCGGGTACGTGTTGACGTCGCCCAAGAACCCGGTGAAGACCGTCACCCGTTTCGAAGCGCAAGTGGCCATTGTCGAGCTTAAATCGATTATCTCCAACGGGTTCTCGTGTGTGATGCATTTGCACACTGCCATCGAGGAAGTGAAGTTGGTTGAATTGAAGCACAAGCTTGAGAAGGGCACCAACCGAAAGCTGAAGAAGGCGCCGGCGTTCGCCAAGAAGGGGATGCGGGTGATCGCGGTGTTGGAAACGACTCAGGCAGTGTGTGCCGAGACCTACAAGGAGTACCCGCAATTGGGGAGATTCACCTTGAGAGACCAGGGCCAGACCATCGCCATCGGCAAGATCACCAAGCTCTTGTAATGTAATATGACAACATAATCTGAAGATTCTCTGAATTTAAGGACTTTTGAGGGGCAAACGCCAGTTTTGTGATAGTTGACGTTCAGATCTCATGCTTTTAGGGCTTACTCACATGCAAGGATATAATACAAAATTGGTACACCTCTTGACTATTCAATTTCATACAAAATCAAGCTAATACCTTTTCGTAAATCATCAGGAGGGCGGCGCCCAAAATGGGACGAGGGATTCTCGGGTCTTGTAATCTGTCGCCAACAATCTGAGATGCCCGAGCCTCCCATTCAACGTAGAGCGGGTCCATTATCCGTTTCAATGTAGCCACGCCTTCCCGAAGCACTTGACGAGTGTCAGCACTAATATCGGGGATGGCATCAACAAGGGCGTTCACACGACACAAGTGAGCTGCCCTTTCGACGTCGAGTTCTTGCTTATTTTCCATGTAATTGCTAGCGAATCTACCTGGGTCACAGAAAGCCAAGGCCGGGTCAAGTTTAGCTTTAATTCTTTCGGTTTCCTGTTCGTGTTCGCCCTCCATTTTCGTGACTTGTTGGTTTAAATGGGCAATGGTGGCGGTAGTAAGGCCCCGAATCGGTCCCGTGACTCCTCTAGATTTGAGAATCAAGTCAATGGGAGTGGACAGGGTCGCTTTCCAGACCCATAATAATTTTTCCGAGTCGTCAATCAAGCTGGTGAAAAACTGGCGGTCGTCGTCATTGGCAAGGCTTGCTGAAAGCGCTTGGAAGTCAGGCGAACCAAGGATCGACGGGTAAGCGGTGGCGGTGGACGGTTCAGACATGACTATGTTGGTAAAGCAAACTCAGTTTATTGTCCCATTTTGGAGTCTGTAATGATTTGCACTATTATTTCTTAATATTGGTGGTAGAGACTTCCCTAAACGGACACTCGAAATCAGTCCATTTGAAACCAATATTTCTTAGCTAAACTAAGAATGCAAATATTTGTTAGACTCAATCATCCATTGTCGCCGCCAAGTACAGCAATATCCCTGCTTTCGCATCTTGGGTTAACTCGGCGATACTCATGGTATACGACGTGAGGTCGGTGACATTTCGGAGTCTTTCGAGGTTCGCTAGCCACACTGGATCTACTTCTTCATCAAGCGGGGTCTCTTCCCTCATCGAAGTAACGATTTTAGCTTCAATCACCGAATGAGCCTGGTGGGTCATCCCCGGAATGTTCCAAAGAATACCATTTAGCTTCTGAAGATGGCTGACAAAGTCATTATCTCCTTCTTGGGGTTCGGTAATGGTTCTCGGGAAAGGACCCATTGCCAGGATGGTCGACAACCGCTCGTACTCGAGCCGCCATAAAGTGAGGTCGTGGTCCGCTTTGGCAACGACGTCATCGTTAAATACGTGGAGAAGCTGACAGTTTTCTTCGGAGTTGACGATGTTGCTGAAGGGAGAAGCCACTTTAGTTTTCCACCCCTCGATTACTTCCAACATTTGTGCTTCGGTTTGTTCCATGTACTCGACCACGGCTTGGCGGTCGTCATCGGTAGTAAGCTTTTCCAAGAGAGCCTGGAATTGAGCCGATTGGGTGACTGAGACATAGATAGCGGCGTTGGCCTGTGACATAAATCAGTGTAGCAATTACCAGCCCCTACACGTATGCTCTTTATAACTTCCTATACAAACAGCAAATGGGGGAAGAACAGGTACCAACTATTACCACCAGAAAATCTCAACAACCTTTATGATAAATCGAGAAAGTCTCGATAAAATCGGCGAGCTGATTGCTGTTTTGGAGCGAAGTGGGTGGTAATACTAGGGACAAATGATTCGTAGGGTAATGTAAATGGTGAACACTGACTGAGCCTGAGATGATTCAATAATGTGACGTTTTCAAATAGTAGTTAAGCTAGATTTTTTCAGCCAATTGTCCAACACCAATCAGCTCAAATTAATTAGGTATCACAATGGTTTAGCGTCAAATCTTACCGCCGATAAATCAGCAGAACATAGCCTGGCAATTTAAAAATCCTTGACAGCCACTGCAAGCGATTGATTGAGAAAAAGCCCATATTCATCGGTCCTGTAATGATCTCTGGGTATTGACAATGCCCTAATCTGCTTTCAGGAAACAGCCAGTATTAGCGTCAATTCGGGTATGGGCTTTGGTGCTTGAGCAAATGAAGTTGAGTGCTTGGCAGTTTCATGAATCAGGTGGATCAAGAAGTGTCCGAGACTTCACCTGTGGGGATTCTTTCATCAAAGGTGGGTGTGGTGGCAGTGGGATCAGCTGATGATGCTTGATGCTTTCTGTACGCGTGAGCTTACCACCTGCATCGTGTACATTAGTCCTTAATGGGGCTAAACCCACCCAAGCCTTATGGAAACGACGCAATTAATTACACCGACAGCACGGGGTAGTCGCCACCGGCATGGCCATATATTTGCGATGTTTCATAATCAAATAATCCCACGTTCTTGGCTTATCTCGATAAGTGGCGGCGACGAGAATTTCACTATTGCCACACCATTGTGATCCACTGCCATCGTAACCCGAGCGGTTTGTGCTATATTTAGAGCGTAGTTTCACCTCCGACGATTCCCTAGCTGTACCCCGTAAACTGCTCAGGCAGCAAGCGCACGGGGGGAGGGGGTGCCTAATTTTCCGTCGGGCAGCGGCCGCATTCCATTTACCCTTTTGCCCACAATCACAAACACCGGCGGTTTGTGGAACGATGTGGATACGAGGTTTTCACAAACGGGTTTGTTTGTATTGATAATTCGAACCTTAATCTTATTTGGTCTTATATGGCAGGGGTGATTGGCTCACTCAGCTGTCGGGGGTAAGCGAATATTTTCTCTCGGGAAACACCACTCAGTTAGGGGCCATTGCTTTCTAAAGTACGGCGTTGGTTTTGTGGCCCACACAAGCGCTGTTGCCGATAATTTTCCCTCCTAGCCAATCGCCCAGATATTGTGCCAGCTAAGCCTATGACAAAGGAAATGAACCATCCTTAATGTCTGACTCAATGTCCTAATAAGCTTTATCTTGAGCTGTGTCTTGAATTTATCTCTAAAAGCCAACGTTTAAATCGCCAACGTGGTGGCACAGTTCCATTACGGTTTCGCGTAAGGGGTCGAGATTATTGCCCATGGCAACCGCAACTAGTTGCAAACTAGCGCTGGGACGAAGCAAGCAAGTTTTACGAGCGGCTCTCTAGAGCTAATCTACTATTCACCGCCTCCAAGGACTACGAGCCCTGGTGCAGCTTGGCCCTTTGGTGTCTAGGTTCAAGGGCGAGCGACTGCGGCTGGGGGGATGCAAGCAGTCTCCTCCAGCGATAGCCCCTGAGGTCGGCTAGATAGTCACTGCCGAGAATAACCCCTTCGTCGTATAGCTTTATACTATGCCATAGTCGTCTACTCAACACGTACATTTACATCGTTTCATCCTCACACCACTCTACCTTTTTTTTTTTCTTGCCTAACAATAGGGAGTCGCCGCATTGNTTTTTTTTTTTTTTTTTTTAATTTCTCTCTCTTCGAATTTCTTTTGCGTGACGCTCTCAATTTAAGTGTCGTGCGCGATAATCTACCGGTACAATAAGAGGCATTCCGAATGTCGGGGGCCTGCTGCTGCTTGCCACCGAGCAGAGATGAGGTAAAGGTCGTGCATCTACCACACATTCACCATTGCTAAGGCGAACAAGCACAAGCAATCTGAGCAATAAAACAAGCAAGGAATATCGAATCTCGAATATTGAATTGCCTGGTTTAGACCTGTAACCACACTAGTACGTAAGCTCCGCCTCGGCCAAGCATCTCCCTTCCCTAAATCCTTGGTGGCGATGTAACCTCATCAAGGTCACGTGACCGATCTATATCACGTGATGGGTCTGGACCCCATCCCATAGCGCGTAGACAACACCAAAAGTCGCATATCGGCCCTTACCCGCGGCCGCTGTAGCCAATTTAACCCATGCGACCACTGCCACCGATGGCCTAGTGACTAATGCCTTCACTAAAGGCCTATTAGTTATTCGTGATTTGTTGGTTGCTTCGGGGTTAGATCGATTGCTGGGTTGGGGCTTATGTCCGAAGGTAGCGCCGGTTGATGGCTCTCGGGATAGGAGGGGGCCACTGGCGCCCGAGGTGGGTGACCACATCCTTGGAGTTTCGAACGGGGTGTGTGTGTGTAAACCTTGTCCTGCTTCGTTAGATTCGCCCAGGGCTGCGTAACCAGCGCAGACGGGGGGTTGGTGGCAGCAATTATTTTTTCCCACCTGCCTAGGTGTGGGTGCCGCAGGCATCGATCAGCGGGCGTCAGCTTTTATAAAAGATTACCGACCGCCCCCCCTCCGTAGAACTTGCTTTCGGACTCGGCACCCCCGTGATCAAATGATTTTGAAACAATTACTCGGAATCCGGGACGTGTCGCAGCTGCCGCTGAAACCGCCGCTGAAACCGCAGCGGAAACCACTGGTGAAACTGCCGGCGCCGAAACTGCCGGGAGCCCCCCAGCTGCCCACCCGCAGCCGCTCCCTCCGTCTCGCCCGCAGTTTGATATCGACCCCGCCCCCGGTAAAGCCAATGGTGGCGTCGCTGGCGTCGCCTAAGACCCCCAAGACTACCCTCACCCGAATCCGGGGTCACCCGTCACCGCTGCTGCTGCTGCTGCTGCTGCCGCAGAGTCAGGTCCTGCAAGTGTTCTCACCCAAACCGAGACAAACCCTGAAACAACCAACTCTGAAACCAACCCTGAAACCAGAAAAGTGTAAGCTCTGCCGGGTCCCCTTCCTGCTCAAATTTTTGGGCGATTCTTGCCACTACGTCGACTGCGGCTGCGCCTACCACCAGGAGTGCCTTTTGGAGTTATTCCAGGCGGACCACCCCGAGTGTATGTGTGGCTACAGCCTCGCTCTGCCCCTGCTGATAACGCTGCCGCTGCTGGTGGCGCTGCTGGCGCTGAGCGTGAGTCTGGCGCCGCTGGCGCCGACGACGCCGCCCGCCAAACAGCTCAACCGCCACTCGCTGTACTTGGACTTGCCCCAGCGCCAGCTGCTGCTCTACGTCGATGACACGGTGGACGAGCTGATGCTCGAAGGCCACATTGGCCAGGTGTACCAGCCCCGGGTGGCGGCGCTAGAACACTCTACTGAGGGCGCGACCCAGGTGGTGCTCTCGGTTGAGGCGCCGTTGGTGTACGAGCTGTTAGTGCAACAGACGCAGTCGCTGACGCTTGCGTTTACCCAGTCACTTCAAAATGTTGCTCAGAGAACGCCGCTGAATGATTACACTGAAGGTGCCGTCGCCACTGATAGTCTTCTGATGGCGCTGCTGATTGAACTTGGGTTGGGCATTCGCGAAGACGACAGCGCCGCCACTAACACCGCTGCGGGCGCCCCCAGCGCGCCCCGCACTCCAGCGGCGCTCGTCGAGCGCCAAGTGGCGGCGTTCGACCACTACGCCGAACTCGCCCTCGCGCCCGATACCCTTCTTTGCTATGACTACGTCGACATCTCCACCACACTGGGGGCGCTTTTCGACCCCATCGTCGCCTACTTGTACGCCAACTGCATGGTGTTTGTCCATCACCACTCGGTGATTGGCCAGGTGCAGATCAGTGACGTCGCCAAGGTCGCCGCCATCGGCTCCCAGTTGGTGGTGCTGCTCACCACCGACCACTTGCCCGAGTTGATCTTTGAAAGCCACCCGGTGGCCATCGTTAAGTGGGAGATTTTGCTTAAGCGCCTTGCCGACTCGGTAGCCGCTAACAGCCACGCTAGCTTAGTTCAAGGTCACGACGCCAAAGTGGTCGAAGTGGAACCGTTACCGCTTAAACAGCTTACGACGAACGCCTGGGACTACCACCCAGAGGTGTTTGACCAGTGGGAGCTGCCGGAACTCGTGGAGTTCGCTGAACAAGTAGTGCTGCTGCAACTGATGGACCCTGAAGTTTTAGTGGAAGCGGTGCCGGCGCCAGGGGCAGTGCCGTTGAACTTGATCCTCTGTGTCTGTGTCGATAACCACAGTGACATGCTGAGGGAACAATACGGCGCCACCCTCGCCCGCCTCATCCGCCAGCTGTTGCTGAAGCTCCGCGACTGCGATACGTTGGCGCTCGTGTTTGTTGGCGCTCCTGGTGCTTCAGGGTCGTTTATCGGCCTGGCGCCCCCGCTGTGGGACGGGTGGGACCAGATTATTGATGATATTGAAGTCCCCGAGACTCCCGTGCTCTCGCTGCTGATGGAGGAGTTCACTATGGTATTCGAAAAGCTCCACTCGTTATACCCGTTTATCCCCGATAAGCTCAACCGTACCAATAAGGTATTGGTGGTGCTGAGTAACCACTACGAAAATGACGCCAACGCTGTGGTTCCCGATGGCGTGCGCCGCAAATTGGCCGCGTTAGAGCGCCTTTCCCTCACCGTGGTGCGTGTCGGTGGCCACACCGCCGCCGTCGCCTCCCTCGCCGAAGCGTTTGCTCAGCCCATCGAGTATTTGGACACCGTAAAAGTGACCTACGCCACCCACCTCCTTCGCTTCGACGACTACGACGCCCTTGACTATGAATTGCGCCAGCTTATTGACCACTACCAGCGGGTAGTGGTGCCGGTAGTGAAGATCACGGTGGAGCCCAGCGCCCTCACCGAAATCGGCCAGGTGGAAGTTGCTGGTCAAATGCGCTCCGCCGCTGAAGGTACCACAAAATTTGTGCTTGTGGTTAAAGACGTGATCCCTGGCGGTCAACGTAATGTCCTCTTATCGGTAGGACTGACCAGTGGCTCTGTGGTGCCGAGATTTGCCTACACGGTGGAATGGGACCGCAAACACGCCACCCACATGTTTACCCCGCGCAACACTCAATTAAGCTCACGGGCAGTGGTAAAACGGGTAGCGGAAATGCAAGTTTCAGAATGGCTTCGTCAGGGACAACGTTTAGATGGGGTGAAGCTGGCGATCCAGCTGATGGATCAATGGGAAGCAGCAGCGGTTTCTTTCCCTGATGCCAGTTTCGAAGGAGACGACTATATCCCTCTGGCGGGGCTGTCGCTTCTGACGTTGACCCAACTGGCCCAGCTGGCGACAACGCCGTTAGACGAGTACTTTTCCGGTCTCTTGCGCGAGCTCAATTTCGTCGCTGCCAGCTATAGCCACGGCGACGACGCCCGTGCCGACGCTAAAGGGTGTGACATTGCCTACTCGTTGATGTAAACCACAACTGAGATGGGTCTCAATGTTTTCTAATATTTCCGCCTTTCAAAGGCTTCCTTTCGCTTCCGACTCTAAAAATGAAGAGTCAAACAAAATTGTAATGACGTTTACGTATGGATTAATAGGTTTTGGGATAGAAAATCAACAAGTGTTGAATCACCTGTAGCCAACTATAGCATTGAGACACCGTGAATATGATGATCTCGATAACAGTCTGTTTGGTTTATGATAAATGACTACGCTTTGATTTTACGTTTGAATGCCAACTCCAGTCGTCATATACTTGGGTAGTGTGTCAATTGACTTTATGGATCTCTTAGTTCAGTTTTAGTCATCACCTTCAGCTTCTCTTTACGCTCATTGCTTTCCGGTGAGAGCAATTGGTAGTAAGGGGGCGCCCATAGCAATTGCAGTTCCACGCGGGGGAGAACTCGTATACCCGCCCGATGGCGTCACCCGTTGCCAGGGGAAATTAGCAGTGGTGTTTACCCCTGCGTACAGCTTTCGGCAATCGGCAATTGGTTGCTTTTGCCGAATCCGGTGGCCACAGCATTTGGCGGTTACGGTGTATTCATTGTATATTGATTTGGGAGTGAGCGCCAGCCATGTCGCGTTGTATCCCGAAAATTCGCACAGGGCCACACGCGTCCCGTGCGAAAACCTAGCTGACTCGCCCCACAAAAAAAAATCCCATGCCATAACACATGCCTATAGACACGCCACTTTACACCGAGGAAAGGTGGCTGGCTATAGTGACGAAAACTTCCGAAGACAACCTACTGCCTCGACGGGCATGTCACCTGAGGCCGCATCGTCTAAAAAGCCTAGCTATTGTCTTGACGATGATGCCGCCAGACACTAACTGTCATGGTAACCAGCAGCCCCCAGTAGTATATTACCATAAACGCCATAGATTCCAGCCCGACATTATCTACTAAACTTAATGGGATACGGATATATCTCTTCCAACTCCAAATTTCACTCGAGCCTCCGTACGGCTAACACTACGGCTTAACCTGTTTGCGGCTACACCTTAGTTTGCCTCGTGGCGGGGACAATTTTTAATTTTTTGGGGGGTCAAAAAAATGAAATTCCTGCACACAACCCAAGGCACGGAGCTGGTTGATTGACCAAGGTTGTAATGGCTACCACGCCCGCCCTGGACACGAGCCATGAATATATGGCCTGACCGTTTTCCCTCTTCGAGGGTTCCCCCAAAACTACCTTGGCCGTCATGAAGTTTGTCCTCCTCTACGCCGCCCTAGCGCTAGCCGTCAACGGCGGCTTGGATGGCGTCGTCACTGTCGACACCACCACGCTCCCCGATACCACGCTGACGGTGATGGAGACGGAGACGGCGGCGCCGCCTACCACTGAGCCAACGCTGACGCCGACCACAACCAAACTGACCGAGAAACCGACGCTGACGACGTCTACCACCAGTGTCGGAAATGCTGCCGACAGTGCTGCCGACACTCCTTCCGGCGCCGACACAACTTCCGACACAACTTCCGACACAACTTCCGACACGTCTCCGATGGGGCCCCGCACCACCACGTTATACCCGCTGCTGCTGGCGCCAGCGCCCCTGGTGGTGACGGTGTACGCGTCCAACCCCGACACCACCACCTCGTCGTCCACCACTTCTTCCTCGTCATCGTCGACGCAATCGCCCTCGCTCATCGTCACTCCCGGCGCCGCGATCGAAAGCACTTACGACACCGTGAGCGCGATCGTCACCACGATCCCGACGACGTACCCCGTCACCACCATCAACGGGCGCACCATCACTCTTATTGACGTCACCGTCGACTCGCTGGCCGCCGCCGCTGGCAAAACCGGTGGCAAAACCGGCGGCGGCGTCGTGACGCTGTACCAGACGGTGGTCAGCGGCCACACCTCAAATATCGTCAGCACTCGATACTCGACGCGCACGGGCGTGGTCACGGCGCACCCTTACGAAACTTTGCTCCCGATAACGATGACCCTGGGCGGCAATGTCATTGTCGTTACCAAGAAAACCACGGTGACGCCGCTGAATAACTGGGGCACCAAGTGGGACCAGCTGGTGTGGATCGATACCACCTACTATTCGAGCCCGGCGCCGTTCACGTATAGCGCCGCGAGCGTCACCGCGAACGGGGCGGCCGCGCTCACGGCGCCGGTAGAGATGTTGCGGGCCTTAAGCTGGACTTGGGCAGTGGCGGCGGCATCGGCGGTGGTGGCAGTCATGGCATTGTGAAATTGGCTTAATTGGATATAGTAATGGATACAAGAGTATAAAAGAATGTGATTGTCTGGGGTGATGGTGACGGGTTTGTGTGGACGGAGAATGATCTCCAGATTGAAGTCATGGGTAAATGAAATTTTTGAAGGGGTCTACTCCCGCAATACCCAGTTGGGTAACTATAATCAGAAAAGAGTAGACTTGAGTATGCAAAAAAAAACAATTGACATCGATATATGGTAGTCGTTTACCGTTGTCGCCGGGGCCACCGTCGGGGTCCGATGGCGCTCCCCGCGGTTCGCACCGGAGAATGAATTCCGAAGAACATCGATTACCCCAGCTTATAAGCTCCAGCCAACCTCCCCCCACCACCACCATCTTATTCCCTTTTACCAACCACCAATGACGGCTGTCACTGTATCCTACCACGACCTACAACAGGGAGTACCCCAACAAACACTCGCCGACGCGTTTGGCCCGGACTCGCTCGGGATCATCATCATCAACGACTTGCCCCCCGAGTTCGTGCGCCTCCGCCAGCGGGTGCTCCGGCTGGCGCTGGCGCTTGCCCACTTGCCTCAGGATGAATTGGCCAAGCTCGAAGTGGAAAAGAGCACCTGGCTTGTGGGCTGGCTGTGTGGCAAAGAGATGTTGGCGCCGGGGAAGCCCGACACACACAAGGGGCTGTGGTACGTGAACACCGCCTTCCACCACGACCCTAGCCAGGAAGCGCCCAACTTGGGGCCCGAGTTCGATGATAAGTACCCCACCTACACCACCGCCAACGTGTGGCCCCACCCGGGCCTCCCCGGGATGGCCTCGTTCGAGCCCGACTTGAAAGCGCTCGTCAACATCATCATCGACACCGCGGAGTTAGTCGCGCGCAACTGCGACCGCTACTGTCAACAGGAATTAACCGACTATCCCCAAGGGTACTTGGAGCGAGTGGTGCGGGAACTGAGCTGCTCCAAAGCCCGGTTGCTCCACTACTTCCCGATGGAGGCTAACGCCAACCCGGACGACTGGTGCACCGAGCACTTGGACCACTCGTGCCTCACGGGGTTGACGCTGGCGATGTTTATCGACGAAAACGACAACGACGCCGAGCTCGCCAAGTGTCCCGATCCTGACGCCGGGCTCTACATCCGCGACCGCCACGGTAACCCCGTCAAAGTGTCGATCCCGCCCCACAGTCTCGCGTTCCAGACGGGGCTGACTCTCCAGGAAGTGTCGCACGGCCAGTTCCAGGCGGTGTACCATAAGGTGCGCGGGGCCGCCGTCCCGGGGGTGGCGAGAAACACGTTGGCGGTGTTCTGCCAGCCCAACTTGAACGAGCCGGTGAACCTGAAGGAAAACTTTGCCGAATACGCCCTGCGGGTGATCGATGGCTTCCATTAGTTGTGAGTACTACCCGCGGCTATCGGCGGCTGTATACGGCAATACCTACATCGAAAATAGTAGCCACCTCCCCGTGCGGCTCTTACTGAAAAAAAAAATTGTGGAACCTTAAGTACTGCATATAGTCTCCCCTCCCTTTATATGATCCCCTTAATGCGCCCACCACCGTAATCAAACAAAGACAAGATGTCGTACGAGAAATTGGACTTACAGCCGTTCTTCGACACCGTCGACGAGCTCAAGCCCCAATTCATCGAGCGGTTGCGCAAGGCGATCGCCATCCCCTCGGTGTCGGCCGACGAAACCTTGCGCCCCCAGGTGGTGAAGATGGCCCACTTCTTGGTCGACGAATTGAAGCTGTTGGGCTTCCACGACATCCAGCTCAAGGACTTGGGCACCCAGCCTCCCCCCGTCGCCGACCCCAAGTTGCAATTGCCCCCGATTGTCCTCGCCCGTTTCGGGAGCAACCCCGACAAGAAGACGGTGTTGGTCTACGGCCACTACGACGTCCAGCCCGCGCTCAAAGACGACGGCTGGGCCACCGAGCCGTTTGAGATGACGTTGAACGAGGCGCAAGACATCATGTACGGCCGTGGTACCACTGACGACAAGGGTCCCGTCATCGGCTGGCTCAACGTGATCGAGGCCCACAACAAGCTCGGGTGGGAGCTTCCCGTGAACCTCGTGGTGTGCTTTGAAGGTATGGAAGAACTGGGCTCGCTTGGGCTCGACAAGTTGGTCGAGGACGAGGCCAACCAGTACTTCAAGGGCGTCGACCAGGTCACGATCTCCGACAACTACTGGTTGGGGACGAAGAAGCCAGTGCTCACCTACGGGTTGCGCGGGTGCAACTACTACCAGATCATCGTCGAGGGTCCCGGCGCCGACTTGCACTCGGGCATTTTCGGCGGCATCATCGCCGAGCCGATGACCGACTTGGTCCACTTGATGGGCGAATTGGTCGACAACAAGGGCAAGATCCTCATCCCTGGCGTTTACGACATGGTGGCGCCGTTGACCGACAAGGAGGACGCGTTGTACGACAACATCGACTTCAGCGTCGACGAGTTGAACGCGGCGCTGGGGCTGGAAACGGCGTTGCACGAAAACAAGAAGGACATCCTCAAGCACCGGTGGAGATACCCGTCGTTGTCGCTCCACGGGATCGAGGGCGCCTTCTCCGGCGCCGGGGCCAAGACGGTCATCCCCGCCAAGGTGGTGGGCAAGTTCTCCATCCGTACCGTCCCCGACATCGACCTGGGCAAGTTGGACCAGTTGGTGTTTGAACACGTCACCAAGAAGTGGCAGGAGTTGGGGCTGAAGAACAAGTTCAAGGTCGAGTTGATCCACGACGGCAACTACTGGGTGCTGAACCCGTTCAACAAGGCGTTCACCGCCGCCTCCCACGCCACCCAGGACGTGTGGAACGTCGTCCCCGACATGACCAGAGAGGGCGGGTCCATCCCCATCACCTTGACCTTCGAAAAGGCCTTGGGCGTCGACGTGTTGTTGTTGCCCATGGGCCGGGGTGACGACGGTGCCCACTCCATCAACGAGAAGTTGGACGTGCCCAACTACATCAACGGGTGCAAGACTCTCGGTGGCTTCTTGCACTACTACGGCCGTGGCGAATAGCTTTAATCAACGATATCAATCTTTTCGGCAAAACATGTAGACATGGAGCACCACTACGGCAACTAGTGCCCCTCATCTGACTGGTGTCAGCTCAGAATCGTCCAGAGCTACGCCCAGTTAGTAACCAGCATTGTTTATCTAGTTTATCACCTCAATGTTCAGTAGGGTATCGGCTGATCAATGTTCATTGGTGTTTGGCGACGGCACGATGAAGCCAGATATAATTGCTGCTATCGATCCCTTGACTTGCCAACTCACTCGCTCCGAGAAGAGACTTACCAACCAAGGGAGTAGTGAAGTCGTCTACTTATTTGGCACAAAATCATATCATATTGTCTCTCAGACATATTCCTAACTAACTCTTAATAGCTCTTACCCAAAATATCATACTCGCGGGGTGTCCTGGCTTTTCAGTCATAACCGCCACTTAATCTTTCCGTCTCTTCTCAGTGTCAAGCACAACTGCCTTCCATGACTGAATAGTGTCGTCACTAACCCCCATCTGAGGTTGCAGGACAGAACGCCCTGGTTTGGCGGCAGTGATTAGTTTATACTTTGCGTTCCTTCTGCCCCAAATGGTCATCAGTTCTAGCAGCAACGGCCCCCACCACCACACACCGTCTAGTGCCTACTACCCCCTTTGGCAGCCTCAAGTGCCACCAAACCACTGTTTACGCTACAAGTGGTGACAACCAGGCGGCTGAAATCAGTGATTGAGTGGTAGAATAGTGGTTAGAGAAATAAAATTCATTTAATTTGGATTTGTTTCAATTTCTGTCAATTTGGTGGATGGCAGTTAAAGTAGAGTCTACGTCACTTCTGCAGGTACTCAGATACCCGCCCGTCGCCGATCATTAGCAAACTAAGAGAGAAGGATAAAATACTAAAACGAAGCGTTAAATGGAGGGGTTATCTGTCATAACCTTTTAATAAGATGGAATCAGTTGCAATTGCTACCTCTGATTATCTGTACTAGTAATCGTCAATTGGCTATATTTACTCCTACAATGAGCGGACAGAGGAATGCTACTCGTGGTAGTGTGGAGACAGTTCCATACCTCGAAAGTCTGATATTCCCGAGGAGTTCCGCACGATGACGTAGGGTACCTCCGAGGTTTACGAACACCCGATTACCTTCGGCAATTGACAGAACAAGGGCATTCTAGAAACTTTTGCACTAAGCCAGAGCAATTGCCTGATCAGGATATCTCGGGGAATCACGTACAAAACCTCGCTACAATTTTATAGCAATAATGGTGCCTTCTGGTAAGACGAGGCCCACAAATCGTGACGTGAGCAATCGTTGCCCGTTTACTAACTCCAGCCGAGACAGTGCTATGCCGAGAGCCACCCACGCAACTGCTGCTACCCCACCCAGATCAGACGCAGCCATCCCGAGGCGTTACACTCGGCCCAAACAGGGGTCAAGAATGGTGCCATCGTCCCATAAACGCCATAATTATTGTGTAACTGGTTTTCGTCAGCCATTGATGTGATTGGTTAATTGGATTACACCATAATTTAGTCGGAATGGGCGGTGGTTCTCCGGGGTGGTAGCTATCACAGGCGCGCTCTGCGAGGGCTGTCACCCGCGCCCTGCGAGGGCAGTCACCTGCCACTGGGGGGTGTGCTATGACCACCCCCACCCCCACGTTTTTTAGCGATATAAAAATCAAAACAACGGGGCCCACGAGGGGTCCCGCGGGTTCCTTCGGCTAAAATCACGCCGGGCGACACTGGCTCGAGGGCGGTGTGGGCACCCACGGTCGCCGGTTAGGCAGCGTTGTGCCCCCGCCGCGAGAACCTCTCCGTTGTCCCGGGCACCCGATTGGTTTTGCCTAGGCAACCGTGCGATAGCGGTACCTCGTGGCACGCCAGAGAAAAAAAAAGGTGTGGGGAACAACAACGTGGAAGCACATATACCCAGTAAACACGACTCGAGGGGGCCAGAACTAGACATTAATATCAACACAATGCCATTGGCGACTGCTACAAGCCCTATCCAATTGAGCAATGGGTCCGTGGGTGTCACATTGTTGCTATTTCGGGTTTGCGGTGACGGCGGTCACCGGTGTCATTTGGCCTTTGGTTTGGGCGCGGGTGTTATGAGTGATAACCACGCATGACTCAGCCATAAGTGGCAGGCGAGATAGAGACCCACGTATATAAACCGGGGGGCCCTCGCCGAGCGTGGATTCGCTGGTGTAAGCCATGTTGTGGTTTTTAAGACGGAGAAAGCAAGCTGTGCCCCAGGACGCGGGCCCCGTGCCCTCCCAGTTCATCCAGGAGGACGCCGACCGGTTGATCCAGTTCGACATGGCGACGACGGAGGACGACGTCGTCGACATCACCTACCGGCAGTTGCTGTACGCGGAGGCGGCCCAGCTTGGGGCCCACAAGCAGCCGCCGCCGATGCTGGTGGCGAAGCGGACGCCACTGCGCCGGCGGGCCCGTGTGGCTGGCGGCGACCCCGGCGGCGACGACGGCGACTTCCTGACCAAAGAGGACTACTGGCAACGCAACCAGCACTTTAAGCATAAGCAGTTTGAGTCGCTCCAGCGGAAGAAGCTCAACAAACAAATGAGAAAGCTGTAACATCATTTTAAATCCCATACTAACTTATTATATACACCATAATCAAACAAAGCATACAAGTGGTGGTAGATATTAGATAGACGTGGTTATTGTTTAGTGTTAGGTATCAGGTGATAGTAGTTGTGGTGGTTATGGATTAGAGTTAGTGGTTATCTTCTTGTTTATGGGGTCGCGGTGGGGCTTATCAGTGGAGTAAACAAGCCGGGGAATTGCCTGTGATATCAAGTAAACCGTTAGCCACAGTAGCATCACATGATTGTGGCAATTCCGGTAAGTGTGGTGATCATTAAGCGGTTCTACGAGTGCCTGGCGGTCGCGGGGTTATCGGCTTTACGAGTAGGCTAATTAGACTTGTATTGAGAGATATAATACACTATGCGAGGGGGGTGGCTTACACGTAAGCGATGCTAATCCTGCCATTGTAATGGGCTGGGGGGGGAGGTCGACTGGTAGGTGGTCGTGGTAAGGGTCGTGTCTCTACCAATTCCCTTTTACCGCGATCACCGATTAGAGAGACACGAACGGCGTTGCGCAAGCTGGCGGAGCTTGTCCCGCCGCTTCTTGTGGTTCAGCTGCACCTCCTGGCAGCTCACCATCTCGATGCGGTCGTACTCCAGCGTAAAGATCAAGTCGATGACGTTGCCAATCGCCTGCTGGTACACGGGCAGTCGTTGCGGGGCGTGGAAGGCGGGGTCACTAGAGTCAGTCATGGTGCGACCATAGGGGGTCCAGATGGAGCGGAGAGTAGTCCTTGAATCTTGTTATTTGAGGTGGAGACAGCTGCGGGCGCTAGGGCATTTATATGTCAAAAGATAGGGGCTCGGCGGTGGTTACCGGTCCCCGATCGATAGTGCCTTATGGCCCATGACTATATGCAGGTAGCGGTTACATTTTTTGGTCTTTAAAATTTCTGTTGATCTTTACTCAGGGTTGCGGCGCCGCACGCTCCCCAAAAAAAAAACAGCGGAATTGGTAATGGGAACAGTAGGGGAGGGGAGGCCACGGGGGTACACTACCGATATCTCCAGACTGAGATATGATTGAGTTTCACTTCGGATAAAGGGGTAACCAACTACGTCCCCAAAGGACTGAAATTTAAGTTAGTGTGAGTTATCGTCTGATATGAGTCAGCTGGGGGTTCGATTACTAAGCGAAGGCTGCCATTTGGGAATGGGCGCTTATGTGATACTGTTTGGTGCGGTGCACTGTACGGGTCATCTATAGTTTTCTTGGTAGAGTCTTGTACAGGTATATGTACTGGGGTGTGTGCATGGTAGCGCTGCAGGGCCGGGCCGATGGTAGTTAATCTCTCCTAGAATTGTCCCGAATTCTAAGTGCGTGCTTAAGTGCGAGGGAAAAAAAAAAAAATCGCGGGGCGAAAAAAAGCCAATCAGTGGTGTGATCTCCGTGATCCGGTCACTGATAAGGAAACCCCGAAATGAGGAGCGCGCGGAGGCAGCGCACGGGGGGGCGCTGGCGGCGGCGGCGGCGGCGCTCGCTCACTACGATCATTAAGGGAGGAAATGACGCCGCGCGCGCATAGAGTATATAGGAGGCGAGCGCCCCGCCGCCAGCAACTGTTTTTCTCATTAGTAAAAAGCAGCGCCACCCTTCCCCCTCACCGGCGCCGTCCGAAACAAGCACTCGTGCCGCAAAACACCCCCGCAAACAAACCCCC